CCCGTAATCCCTATATAATCCGCATATAATCCTTATATATAATCCCTATATAATCCCAATATAATCCCAATATAATCCCAATATAATCCCAATATAATCCCAATATAATCCCATTAATCATCCTATACTCCCTATATTGTGGGATTAAACACCACATCATTGCCTTTTTTAAATAAGTCATTTGCCAGTCTCATCATGTCTCTGCAACAGTCTCAGTACTCCGCACCGGCGCTGTGATGAGGTCCAAGTCCCGAATGCCGAGCAAAAGTGCAAAAGTGGACGCTGCGACGCTGCTGAAAGTTCCATAGAACTCCAAAAAAAATGACATGATGACATGGAACTCTGGAAAATGTCCAAGAAATTAGGTGTAGATGATTGATTTGTAAATGACAAGCGTCAGTAAATGGTGTCAACATGGTTTGCCAATGGTTGTTGAATGACCAAGTCACGGGACAAACATGATGAGCAAATGGTTGGAACATGGTGTGCGAATGATCGGTAAAAACGATCCATTCCCCATATTCAACATCTTTTTTAGAAACCATGGTTTAGTCGGGGATTTACCCTCTGGTAAACTAACATAACTATGGAAAATCACCATTTCTAATGGGAAAATCCACTATAAATGGTCATTTTCAATAGCTACGTTAAATTACCAGAGGGTACACTTCTTTGGGAGTTCGTTAGAATGAGGGGTTTTAAGGTGAACGCGGGGATCATACTCGCGATGGAATGAGGTGCTCCGAAGTATCTCACTTTCCAGGTTCCATGGTAAATTTTCAATGGGTTTCACCAGCCAGAATTGTGGATTTCATTCGCAGAACATGGTGATTCACCAACTTTTCTATTGGAAAGGGGTCTCAGAAATCTTGATTTCACAACTAAATTCAAAACAAGCATAGTATATGGAAGTAGTTTCCCAACATAGTAAAACTATCATTTGCCAGTCGCATTTCCCAAGGAAGTCTTGATTCACAGCACAACGTCATCCCCCCAGTTGACATTGGCACGCCAGGTGGCAAGCAGCAAACACGAACATTGGTGCCGCGCCGTGAAGATTTTTTGCGGGATTTGGTTGTCCAATCTGGTTTATCTGGTTTAGGTCATATCATAATTGTCATTCATTTTTTCCACATCATTTATATATATATATATTATATATAATATATATTATATATTATATATTATATTATATATTATATTATATATAATATAATATAATATATATATATTATATTATATTATATGTATATATTATATTATATATATTATATTATATATATATATTATATATATACATTATATATATATATATATATTATATATTATTTATTTATTTAAAGATTGGTTATAAACTATGGACTAATTGGGGAAAAAGTGGTTCAGACTGGGGGGCAAATGTAATGTGATTGGCACACGGATGAGGATGGCCTCTGTTTAAACCTGTTTCCTTTTATCCTCTACCACATTGCAGGCTAAGATCGATAAGTCCAGTATTCACAGTAACAAAAAAAAGGCATTGCTATGATCACCATCTCACCGGTCTCAGGAGTCATTTCCCCACTGAACTCGTTTTGGGGATGGGTATTCCATTACCCAATTTCGTCAACCGAAAGAAACTTGGGGATGGTGGCCTTGGGATATCCCATACGTTTGGTTTGTTTCTAAGTAGACGAAGGAACTTGGATTTATGCTATAGATATGTCCAGCTAGTTTTCATCGGGTTTTTAAACCAACTTATAGTCCCCAACTAAGTGGAGCCAGAGGTTTATAGCTGGGAACATCGTATGTAAGTGGTGGATTTTCCAACAAGAATTGTTTGATGACACTGGAGGTAGTAATTTGCCCGTAATCACAATTCTTAACCATCAATCACCAGAATTAATTATTAATCATTATTGACCATTATTCACCATTATTAACTGGTTGGTGGTTTCAATCAATTTTGATTTTCCATAGTATATGGGATAATCCTTCCCATTGACTTTCATATTTTTCAAGATGGTTGAAACCACCAACCAGTCATTATTGACCATTCTTCACCATTATTAACCTGGTTGGTGGTTTGGAACGTTTTTTATTTTTCCATATATTGGGAATGTAATCATCCCAACTGACTTTCATATTTTTCAGGGGGGTAGGTATACAACCAACCAGTCATTATTGATCATGATTCACCATTGTTACCCTCTGGTAAACGTTTACATAACTATGGAAAAAAACGACCATTAGTATAGTGGATTTTCCCATTAAACATGGCGATTTTCCATAGTTTTTTGTACGTTTGCCAGAGGGATCCTCCACCGGAGGGTACCATAGGCCCCCTGGGATCTGTCAGAATGGCCTCTGAGATCTGAGGTTGTCCTGCACTCTGTGGGACTCTCAGCGTTTGGTCGTCGGCTTTCACCAGCCATGGATGGAGACTTACCCTCTGGTAATTTAACATAGCTATTGAAAATTGCCATTTATAGTGAGTTTTCCCATTAAAAATGGTGATTTTCCATAGTTAGGTTAGTTTACCAGAGGGTAAATCTTACTGGTGCGTTTTACGCAGGGAATTTTCGGGAATGATCCACTGGCTCACTAGTAATAATTAATCATCCCAGCAACCCCCAGCAACCCATCCAGCAACCCTACGTTTAGCACCAGTAAGATGAATGGAAACTTAAATGGTCTCACCCAGGAAAATGGGGGATTTTAACCAATGATGGATCTGGGTCAGCTGGATGACCTGTAAATGATACTAAAGTAAGCCGGCAATTTCGGCTCATCTAAGCTGCTCACTTCCAGAGAACAGAAGCCAGACACGTTCAACCCTTGTGGTCCGGAAAAAAAACTATAGTTTTCGGGGACGTTGATGGCCATTTCAGGAACCCAAATTGGAGGTACCTACCATATACAAGGCCTAAATTTCAAGGCCTAGATTTCAGGGCTAAATTTCAGGGGATATACCCCCAATTTCTATGGCCTGAAAAATGGTACAGTACCCGTACCTCCATATATTGGATCCTGGAATTCCCATTGATTTGATATGATTTGCCTGTCTTTGTCATATTGCAGGAGTTTCTCTGAAAATATGGAGTCCCATGGATGAAATCCTTAGTTCTACTTATGAAGTCCCAATGATTTTGATCATTGCGAAGGTGTAGCCCCCGCAGTGCCGCAGAAAAGCTAGATGTGAAAGGAACATGCAGTGAGTAGCCATGCTTGGATTGCGAATTTTTATTGCTGGTATTCAACCGTGTTGTTTCATGATTGCCAAAAGCGTTAATCTAACATAGATAGGGATAACGAACCATTTATAATGTTTATATAGATCATTTCTTTCGGACACCTTTTCTTTGCCCGTGCCATATCTATATATGTTAATTTACTGGAGGCTAAACCACATTTCTTGAGATGCAACCAACATCAACCAACTACTGGTTTGTCGTTTCAAACCTTACTTTTTGTTGTTCAGCCTATTTGGGAATTTTTCGCGCCCAAGCACCACTAATCATTGCCTCATATCCCCAGTTTGGTGGGTGAAATCCCCTTTGTTTATTGATCAACCAGCATCATCCACAGATCGAAGCGCCATTGCCAAGGCTGGTTAGAAAAAGTCCCCATTCAGTCACTTCTCCAACACTCCCACACTTCGAAATCAGGCATTTTCTGCCCAGTAGTAGCTATCCCTGCTATTGTTGATCATATCATCACATCCCAAGAGTTGTTGACCAACACTTTTTTTTAAGTGATTGTCATGTCATCCCGACTTCCCCGCTGATCAAACAACGGTGACATAAGTGACTTCTCCTCCACGAAGTGAAGCGAGCAGCGGGTGGAAACCCCCCGCCATCCAGACAGGTGGCATTGTCTTCATCATCTGCCCAGCAGGTCATCCCAGTGAGGCAGCAAATCCCAATCTAAAATGGGGGGGTTCCAACTCGTCTACTGGGGGAAAATGCAACTCATAAGTGGCTGAATTCTATGGTTTATGATAGATATAACTTGATATAACTATAGTTAATTAATCAGTTTATGGGGGCAAGTTATGTGTTATAAGTTAGAAAATGGTTTATAAACAATTAATGGTGGTTTCCATAAATGGAGGTAGCCTAGTAGCTGGATGGTTTAGAAAATGGCAAATCCCAATCTAAGATGGATGATAACTGGGAGTAGCCCTATGGATTGGAAAGCTCCATATTGCAGAAGTAGTTAGTGATGTTACCGAACAGTGGGTTTTAACATGTTTTGACTATAACTACATACCAAATCATGGTCAGATTCTGAATGGGCGAACCTGACATCTCAGTTGATCCAGGTGGATAGGGATAGTCAGTAGTGTTCTGTTCCCCGTACGGAACTATCCGCGGAAGGAGGTCATTCTTGAAACTTTGAATGTAACTTTAAAGTACTTGAAGAATCCTGAAGAATAGAATAGAACTAATTCGCACAGCTGAGATTGAAATTTCACGAACATGGGCTTTGTTTGCGCCACCAGTGAACGGTTTGGCCGAGGTTGAACGCGTGAAGCTCAAGGTGTTTGCGGCCTTGGGCAACCAGGGTTTTTCTGGGGTTCCAATCTGAATGGGTGACGGGATTAATTACTATTGGGTGACTCAGCCGGTATGTTATGTATAATTATATAAGTATATATACATATATATATATATACATATTATCGCTTCTGTACACACACACACGATGTGAATACTAGATACACTAGATACATGAAATGGAGATACAATGAGATAGATATGAGTTCTTTGATGTCTAGAAGCAAACCTTCACCTTGGCTTTTCGGGGTACCCGGGATGAACAATTCCTTTTGTCCAGGCATTGCTGTGTTCGCCGGAGTGGGAAAAAATGGACCGCTGGGAAGGTCAAGTGAACTGTTGCTTGGTGGTCCCTCACATCCCATGTATTATATATTGATATATATATATTGTATAGCCTGGGCTCGAATGCCTACCAGAGGTCAGGCTGTGCCAGCGGAACATTCGAGGATTGGAAGAGCCATGGATGTCACATCGTTTCTAAATGCCCCGGTGGGACAGAAGGTGAGTTTGCTTGTGGAAATCAAGGGTTCCGACGATTTCTTTTCGCTGGGATTCGAAAGTCCTTTTGGGGAACCAGTTGCCTTCCTTCATGAGGGAGAGAGGTATGAGGGCATGGTAACCCTATATGATGTCAAGCACACCGGAGTCAAACACCTTGACAGTTGGATTTTGGAAGTTGATGGATATATGCCTCTCAGGTCCACCCCCCTTGACATAAGTGATATGGGTTATGTTCACGATGTCTGTTGTGGCCTTGGCGGATTTAGCACGGCCTTCCAGCATCTCGGCGTTTCTGTGGTTTCAGCAGTGGACTCATGCGAGCTTGCCGTGCAAGCCTTCCAGTTGAATCATTCGTGCCCAACGATCTGTGGTGACATCGCTTCTGTTGATGTTCTTGTCCGTATGCACACATGTCAGCTTGTTTGTGGCCGACGCCCTGTCATATCAGCTGGCTTTCCATGCCAGCCACTGTCGAGGCAGGGTGCCCAATTGAGACAATGGGACCAACGCAGCAAAACATTGGGATCCATCTTGCGCGCCGCGCACCTCCTGCGCTCCACCGGATTGTTCCTAGAATGCGTTCAGGAAGCCCTATCCGACGATGCAACACAGCGCCAGCTTCAAGAGTTTGCCAACATGCATGGGTTTGCCATGTTTCAACGTGTTTTGCATTTGAGCAACATGTGGCCTTCTAGGAGAACAAGGTGGTTTATGGTGATGCTTCCGTCCGAGTTTGGTGAGTTTTCCTTTCCAGCATTGCCCCAGTTGCCAAAGCCACCTTCGGTGATGCAGCTCATGCCTTTTTCACCATGGCCAGCATGGTCCATGCAAGATGAAAGCCAACTCAGCTGGACAGAGATGGAGGAACAGGTCTACAATGACCCACAATATGGATCAACCAATCGATTTGTTCAGACTCAACATCCCCTACCCACAGCGTTGCACTCATGGGGCAATGCCCTGTATGCTTGCCCATGCAAGTGCCGGGCATCTGGACTTAGCCCTCAGACACTCAGGTCAGGAGGTTTACGAGGTTTGGCAATCGTGTCAGGATGTTGGCCGCACAAGACACGACACATCCATCCCAGAGAACTGCAACTTTTCCTTGGATTCCCACCCTTTGAGAGTGTCTTGAGTGATTGTAGGGCGCAACTTTGTCTGTACGGCAATGCAGTGTCTCCCATACAGGTCATGTGGATTTGGGCGCATGTGATGAAACAGTTTGGACTTTTGCATGGATTTCCAGACAGCACAGAACCATTAGCCCAATACATTGACGTGGTTTTGTTGCAGCGTGATGTCTCATGGCCTAGCCCCTCAGTTGGACTTGGCGACATGGTCCTTGTGCATGAGAACGCTGAGGTCACACTCAGGTTCAACACTTCACAGACAGTAGGACAATTGCTGCAGGCAGAAGCCAATTTGTGCCAGGAATCCACAATGGTGTTTTTGAAGACTGAAGGATTGACCCTGCCGAACTTTGCTTTTCTCCAAGAACGCACGTATGAAGTGTGCAGAACGAACGCGTCAGCGGACACCATGCTTTCTTGGATTCCGGTTGCAATCGAGTTCCTTGGCTGTGTCTCTGTGGTTTGGGTCCCCCCTGGTTTGTCTTTTCGGCAGTTGCTGTGCTGGGCTGGTATATTCCAATTTGCACGACTTATGGATGAAACATCCAAAGACATCTCAGCGGATTCACTTGTGGAGCCTTGGAAAGTAGTGACAGTTCAGCAGGACCCTGATGATGTCTCGTTTGACTTGAACATGCTTGAAGGGTTTGGCAACATACATGATGGACTTCCAATTGGACTTTTACGTACAACTGAGTCATGGATTTCTACTGGACTTTGGCATCTTGATCAACTGATCAAATCTCAGTTGTTGCTCACATGGACGGGGTTGGATTTTGCACCTCTGACCGTGTGGTTGCCGTCATTTGCTGAAGCTGTCTTTGAGTTTTGGCCATGCCAAACAGAGGATGACCTCAAAGCGTGGCTTGCACCCACAGATACGCAGGTGTATGCTTTTGTGCGTGAGAGTTGGGGTTGGAGCATGTTGTTCATTGCCTTGGATGCGCGCATGACACACATCACATTGGTTGAACCAACTGGACATCTTGCAGTCACCTCACGGCTCATTGCCCAAAGAGTCGCATGTGTAAGTGGCCGACCATTTTGTGAAGAACAGGTCAAGAAAATTGAACCCAGTGTGCATCCCGAGCAATCGCTTGAGAACGTCATGAAATGCTTTCATCATGAACTTGGACTTTCTACTGCTTTGATTTCCGATGCAGTGTGCTGCACACCCGAGATTGCCATGTCTGACTGCCAGGATATTTCACCCACAGTGCCAATGACAGCAAGCAGTCTTTTGGTGAAGCCAGGTCAGCCACACGTTGCAGAGGCACCATTGCAACATGGACTAACAGCCAGGTTTTTGTTGAAGTTCGCCAGAGCTTTGCTTGGAAATTACCCAACCTCAGTCAAACCGGAACAAGTGCAGGTTTTGGTCATAGGTGACATGGATTTTTTCCCCGCGGGATGTCATCTTCGCACATGGCAGGCTGAACAGGCGCCACTGTATCTTTTCGTTTTGGTTGAGAAGCATTGGACTTTTGTGAAGTGCGACATGCATGGAACACATCTTGTAGTGCAACAGTTTGATGGACTTGCTCACACCAGCATTTCGGAGTTGGCTCCTCTTTGCGTCGCATTGAAACAAGCATGGGATGCCGACAAAGTGACCATATCGACCACCTGGGTGCTTGAGCAGACCAAAGCTGATTCATGTGGGACCATCGCGCTAGGTCATTTTGCTTTGAGCCTGGGTTTGATCACGTATGAGCAAGCCATGCACTTTGAAGCACTCCATTCCAGTTTTGCAATCTGCAGCAGCTTGGCTGGATCATGTGGGTTTGTAGGATTTGGAATTGAAGAGAAAGTGAACCATGACCTTGCGCAGCTTTTGCCCACCAAGGGAGTCCCTGAGGAAAATGTGAAAGATCGCATCCAAGCAGCCTTGAAGGTGTTTGGATCAGAAGCCATTGGGAAGGCGCTCCAAGCCAACAACAAGTGGGCAGCCTTGAAGCAACTTGGAAACAGCCGCCCACGTCCTTTCATGTGGGTTACCAATCAGGAGCTTCAACAGCACATACAAGATCGATCGCAAAGTGAATATGGGGCCAAACTTGACATCCGAAAAAAGAAGACACAGAAAGAATACAAGAAGCAGCCTGCAGCTGCGCCTCAGATTGATCCAGCGAGCCTTTTTCTCCCACCAGGGTTGTTCATTACCAATACAGGGGAAAGTGTTCCACAAATTCCCTTGGAAGCTGTTAGCAAAAACTCACGAGGCATTGCTTTTGCCACACCATCGGACGTAGCACAGTTTTTGACAGATGGCAAGATGATCAGCACAGAAGCACTGTCGGTGCTGGTGATCGGGACTCTTCCAGAGTCCGCTCCACAGTCGCTCCCTATGCACAGCCTGCAAGTCCCTGCAATTTACCGTGGCACGGACGAACCCATTCTGATAGACTGCACAACCATTCAACTAGGAGACCAAGCAGTGTACAGAAAGCAGAATCAGGCCGCGCCTGAAGTAGCTGTGTATCCAACTGCCGTTTTCAGAGTGCACGTTTTCCGAGATTTGTGGGTAGTCGACCAACCATGGGAAGATGTGGTGTCTCGACCAGTGAAAACCCTGGTCCAAGCTTTCGACATCCTCAAGCTGTGCAAAGCTCAAGATTGCCAAGGTTTCTGCGGTTTTTGCCATCCATCATGCGAAGAAGAGGGAATCAAATCAGGCCTTCTGGACATTTGGGCTTTTCATTGGCATACCCTTGATGGAAACAAGACGCCACCACCAAAAGCCGATGTCTTGTCAGTTTATTTTCGTGTCCCAGAGTCCAGTTTCCATTCGTTGCATGTCACGTCCGGCACATATGGGGTTTTCTTTGAGCCCAGGCATAGTGACAATCCAGGTCCAGATCCTCGCTATGCAGTAGTGTGGATGCCACCATGCACTTTGGCTGAAGTCATGCATCGGGTTAAAACGGTTGATGAAGGGATTGCAGCATGCCGCCTGGGCAACAAATATGGTATCAGATGCCTTGTTAAAGACCAGGAAGCACTCCATGCAGTCATTTGCCCAACCAAGCCTTTTGTCAAATGTACCATCCATTTGATTTATCGTTTGGAACCACTCCCAGCGGGCACACAGCGCCAAAGCTTGGTTCAGATCCTCAAACAATTTGGATGGGTAGCCAAACCTTTGCAACCATGCAAAGGATCACAGGGGAAGGCATGGACAGTTGGAGCAGAAAAAGAGCCACCGAGCCCTTTCATTGAGACACAGAATGGCTGGATTAGCCTCACAAAAATGCGCGATCAAGTACCTCAGACAAAGCCACATGATCTGATTGCAACCGTCCGCACGAGGCAGCATATGAAAGACGCCAGCGGCTCAGCTTCCAGTTCAGCACCTCCGCAAGACCCTTGGCATACCACAGGCAAAGATCCATGGGCCAACTTCCATGGCACCAGCAAAGCAGGTCCACCATCCCAACATGTTCAGCAGAAATTTGAGGAGGTGGAACAAAAAATGACAGATCGGGTGCAGGCAGCTCTCGATGCCAAAATGCAGCAGCTCCCAGGCGATGAGGAAGCTCGACTTCGGCTGGACTCTGTCGAAAGTCAGATTCAATCCATTTTGGTTAATCAGCACAAGCTGGAAAACTGGGCGGTTGACAATAGCTCCAAAGTGGCCATTATTCAGTCCGAACAGGCAAACATGAATCAAGCCATGCAACAGTGCCAGCAAACGATTTGCGAGCAAGGCCAAGCTCTGACACAACTGGCGCAGGAGGTCACGACATGTTCACACACCTTGTCCAGTCAAGGCCATACTTTGCAGCAGGTAGCCCAGGACGTTGGAGGTTTGCAGCGAGATTTGACATCCCAGCTTGAAGCATACTTCAGCAAGCAGGCCACCACAATTGAAGCCTTGATTGAAAAACGTCAGAGACATAGTTGACTAGGCCACCGTGGGCCCTCAACTGGATTTTCGAGGGTGCCACGATCCTCTGCTTCCTTTTGGACTTTGCCAAAACTTGTTTTGCTGTTCTGTTTGCAGTTCTTCCGTATTGGAGAAGCTATGGTGCCTGGTCCTGACAACATGGTCAATCCTGACATGGACTTTGATTCCTTTGTTGATCCTCCGCAATGGGCTTTGCCCGGTGTTCCCGAGTTTTGTTTGGGTGTTGGAAATCCATCTGGGATCAGTAACAAGTTGCACACCCTCGACTGTTTCCCAGTAGGTTTTTGGCATATGGCCGAAACACAGGCGTCTCGATATCAGCAACATGCGTTCCAGGGGTATCTCAACAGTTTGTCGTGGAGATCCAACCGGCACTTGCGTTCTTGTCTTGGTGCCCCCGCACCACTTCGTGCGGGCTCTTCTGTTGCTGGTTCGTGGACTGGCGTTTTGTGCTTTGGTGACTGTCCTTTGCGGCATGTTCCTTGCGTTTGGCCGTCGGATGAGTTTAGCAGCGGTCGTGCCCTGGTCACTGTTGGACAGATTGGTGGACTTCAGATTACAACTGCCACAATTTATTGCCCAGCCAAAGGTCCGACATTTCCAAATGCGAGAGCCCTTGCTGAACGTTTGTTGACACCAATCACTGAAAACTTGGTTTTTGGTCGGATGGGCCCAAGAGCGATTCTTGGAGATTTCAATGCCCCTGCCGGCAGCCTCCAGCAAATGCAGATCTGGCAATCACAAGGCTGGGTCGAACTGCAAGAGCTTATGAATCGGCACTATGGAATCGCCCCACAAGCCACATGTAAAGGGGCCACAGCCCCCGATCAAATTTGGGTATCGCCGGAACTTGCCATGCTGATCACAAATTCTGCAGTGTGGCAGATATATCCCGACCATGCCATGTTGATAGCTGGGCTCAATGTTCCCTCTATGAGCCTTTTCCAGCCGCAATGGCATCTTCCTGGTCTGATCCCATGGAATTTTGTGGATCAAGATAAATGGGGAACCGAGTCTGACATTGGGCCTATCATCGATTCAAGCATTCGGCCTGTGGGTGGTCAATGCTTGCCTTTGGACAGTCGATTGGATTTTGAGTCCATTAGCCAGACAGATTCCACTCATGCGTTCCGCTCTTGGAGTAGACAGTTTGAAGTTAAGGTGTCACAAGCCCTCAGCCCGGGGGTTCAGAGGGCTGATCGCAGCTACTTTGGACGAGGACAACTCACTAAACCTCGTCAAAGGCGAACTCAGGCTGCAGTTCCCAAACATAGTAGGCCAGGAGAGGTTGAACAAACCTGTGGATTTTTGAATCGAGCCAGTGCTGCTTGGTACAAGCAACTTCGAAGACTTCAGTCATATCGACATGCAGCACAGTCACATAGGCAGCATGAGACTTTCCATTCTAGGGTGGCTTTGTGGAATTCTATTTTGCGTGCGCCTGGGTTCACTGATGGATTTGCTAACTGGTGGAAAAGGCGCCCACACCAACAACAAGGGTCTCCTCCAGCCCTCCCGACTTATCCTCCCAATGCACAAGTCATCCAGTGGATTTTTGATGACTTCCATCATAACTACCGCTGCTTTGAGCATTACCAGTGGAGGCGCAGACAAGACAGTTGCCAGGCCAAATTGCTTTCCACAACCAAAGGCCTCTTTGCCGTGACACGGAAAGAAGCGCGCTATGCCTTGGATTGCCTTGAAGACTCCATGTCTCAAACCATCACAGTTTTGGATGCTTGTGCAGGCCTTGTGACTGTCCCCGAGCCTTTCCCTAGCCAGAAAGTCATTGGATGGCAGTTGCAATCTCAACCTGCCTTGGTTCGAGCTATGGAGGAGGGATACGTCGTTGAAAGCGATTTTGTGCTCGTTGATGGTCAAACCCTGAGCTGCACCACATTGGTACATGAACCTGCAGAAATCCAAGACAGACTTGTACAGTTGTGGACTCCTAGATGGAATAAACATGCAACGGTCTCGTCCAGCCAATGGGATCAGATCAAGCGTTTTGCTGAAGACTGCCTACCAAGAGGTCATTTCTCTCTTCCCCGCGTGAGCATTGCCGATTGGCGAAGGGCAGTTCAATCCTTTAAAGCCACAGCCGCGACTGGCCCTTGTGGCTGGTCGAGAGCAGACCTGCTCCATATGCAGGATACGCATGTTCAGGCCATTTTGGATTTTTTTCATATGATGGAACAGGGAGCAGCATGGCCTAAACAGTGGACAGTTGGATTGATTCACAGTTTGCAGAAGCGCGAAGACAGCGCCAAAGCTGAAGACTTCAGACCAGTGACTGTCATGAGCATGTACTATCGAGTGTACACTGGAATTAGGGCAGGTCAAATCTTGGCGCAGCTGGCGCAATGGTCTGATTTCATGCAATGTGGATTTATGCGTAAGAGACAGGCCTCTGATGTGTGGTATTTTGTTGGCGTGTGCCTTGAAGTTTCATGTCAAACTGACACTCCAGTGCACGGGTTGGTTGCTGACCTTGTCAAAGCATACAACACTTTGCCGCGTGACCCTACCACCACCTTTCTTAGGATTTTGGGAGTGCCACCTTGGTTTCTTCGCATGTGGAATTCTCATCTGACTGAGTTTACCAGGTACTTCGTTGTCCGTCGCTCAACTAGTCCAGCGGTGACGTCATGCACCGGCTATCCTGAAGGCTGTCCTTTGGCTTGTGCAGCCATGACTGCAGTGGATGTGGTTTGGCACACTTGGCAACAGGTTCATACTCCACGAGTCCTCCCGCTCAGTTACGTGGATAACTTTGAGTTGATTTGTGATAGAATTGTGGACTTGGATCAAAGTGCTGCCCAGCTTGACCGTTTTTGTGCCTTGTTGGACTTGAGTGTTGATCGTTCCTGTCTGTACGCATGGTCCACGTCTTGTACCGGTCGTCGTGAACTTAAGGATAACGGGTATCATGTAAGTTTGGGTAATAGGGACCTGGGAGGGCAAATTACCTATTGCAAGCAACTCCGGAACCGAGTCTTGACAGACCGGATGTCAAAGGTACATCCTCTTTTTGCAAAGCTGCGGAAGGCGAATCTGCCACAAGGGGTCAAACGAGCGAACATCCAGCAAGTACTTTGGCCACGAGCGCTGCACGCATGTGCAGCTACAAAAGTTGGAAGTCATCACTTTGATGCCCTGCGTGCTGGAGTCATGAAAGCTTTGCACTGAAATCATGCGGGCGCATCGCCCATAGCGAGACTGTCATTGCTGGAGCACACCCTTGACCCTGAATGGTATCAACTGCAACAAGTTGTTCACATGTTTGTTCACCAATGCAAACTGAACCATGTTATCAGAGACTGGTGGCGAATTTTTTGCACCACGCCGCATGGGGAATCGCATGGGCCCTTTGGTAAGGTACAGGAACTTTTGGCACCGCTCGACCTGCATGTCGATGCCGTCTGCCGTCTTTGGTTTTCCGATAGTGGATATATCAACCTTCTGGCCAGCAATGGTACAATTGTGGACAGGGTTCTTTTGAAGCATTATCAGCAGCGCAAGGCGAGCAAGTTGGCACAGCGAGCTGGTTTCGACGGACTGCAAGATGGCTGCGACGTAGGACTGACAAAGTCCAACGATGCAGCGTTTGGCCTCACGGACCAGGCCAGACTCCAAATAGCAAGGGATGGCTCCTTCATTGCTGACAACGTCAAGTCAAAGTTTGATTCCAGAATTACTCCAACATGCGTGTGGTGCAATGTTCCAGCCACACACCTGCATAAGATCACGGAATGTAGCAAGTACGACACAGTTAGAGCCAACCACTGTGAAGTTTTCAATGATTGGAGCAGCTTGCCACTTTGCTGGCGACAACACGGATTGGTGCCGAGCAATCCCTGGCAGACGCTTGTTTGGGAAATGCTCATTACTATTCCTTCCAACCTGAAAGATTTTCAATTTGCGCCTTCAGGCTCAATTGTTCACTGCTTCACGGATGGTACGGTTTCACAGCCCCATACACATGAGGACGCTCTTGCGGCATGGGCGGTGGTTGTAGCAGATGTTGGACCTCTTGCCAAAGGACCTTTGCCAGGCATCCAACAGTCAATCCCACGAGCCGAGGCATATGCCGTGCTGAGCGTGATGATTTGGCTTCAGAATTTTGAAGGTTCAGCGCACATTTGGGTAGATAACCAGTGGGTGGTTGATACTGCGCGGGACATTCAGCGCGGAGTTTTTGACCCTTCTTCGGTTGAACACGAAGACATCTGGACTCAGATTGCTGCACTTTTTCAGAGTGCCGTTGCCGATATTACGCTGCACAAGGTGGCCAGCCATACTCAGGAGACATCATGCGAAACGCCCATAGAAGACTTTGCAAGAATCTGGAATGCTTGTGCCGACCGCCAGGCTCACGCAGCCAATGTATGTAGGCCAGCATACTTTCAAGCAGTTTGGAGCAAGTTTCAACATTTCAGACACACTTGGAAACGTCGAGTAGTCAAGATGACAGAGTTGCAGAAAGCCATAGCAGATGCTGACTGCACAGAACATGTAAGTAGCGATGTTGATGAAGACCACAGCGTTTTTGAATTCGTTTGGACTGAAAACCATGCACAACTTTCTGTACAATTGCAGCCATGGGTTGATAGTCCGGATTTGTTTATCGCGAAGCATGATCAACATTTTCGATCCGTAGCAGCACAGTTTTTAGCTTGGATCATTTCAGTTGACACGAGCGCGTCGCACATGAGAACTGTCAGCCTCATTGAACTGTATGTTGCGTTTAGGATGTCCAGGCGTGAGCGGCGTGCGATTAGCTCTAGTGGGGGTGGTGGTGTTTTGACTGTTGTGACCTTTGCTTCTGATTTTTCTTACTTTAAGAAGGTCTTTGGTTGGATTGTCAAGAAGGCTGACATTTCTTGGGGACATTCGGTTTCCCTTATTTTTCTATGTATAGTTCCCCCACAGCAGGGAATCACAATTGGGTGGCCGTCCGATTTGGAGACGACTACATTTGATGCATTGCGTCAGTTCATCGGGAATCGTCCTGTGACAAGTTCCCAAAGTTTAGCAAAGCCGTGGTCCCCATAGCGATGCATTAGGTCTCACGGCCATGTCAAAGAACAGTTTGGCCTGCGATTAGCTGGCCAACTGACCGTCCCAACCGTGTGCAATATATATATTGTATATATACATATAATAGTATATATATATATATTATATCTTGTGCTTGTGCGTGAGCCAGGAGCCATTTGATGATTCAACTTGACAGGAGAAGAGTTATTCTGTAGCTGCCACCGGGATTTCATGGGATCACAGAAAGTCGAAAGAAAAAGCTTCGTTTCTGGCACAAGAAAGCCGGGGGCGGACAAGAATTCACCACACATATATAATTATAATATATATATATGTAAATATACCCGGGGAAATGTTGGTAAAGCAATAGGATCCAGCATCCCCACATTTTCATAACTTTGCCATTTTTATCGGTTGGATGAAGCGTCAATCCATATGGGGTATGACATTGCTTTACCAACATGGTTAAGAAAGTCGCTCCTTTGAACCATGGCCTTGGCCAGACATGTTGTTTTGTCAGCTGAGAGCCCGTCAAACCACATCAGTTTTCTTCCTGAGAAATCGACATTGACCTTCGTGTTGACATCAGATGTTTCCAGCGATCTGTCAGAGACCCCTACGGGAGTTGCGAGACATGGCGTTGAGAGACATCGAATGGCACCGGCCAGGATTCAGGTCACGGACAGAGTGGGTGAGACTGGATGATTTTTGTCATCGAACCACAGTTTCAGTCCTGATAAAATCACAGTGGCACTATTTTCAGGCTTACGCCTGACAGCCGGGCGCCGGCCAAGCAACGACGTTTGGCTTATGGTGTGGGAAGATTGGGCCGAGATTCTCCGCGCAAACCCAGGGATGGCTATGTTGAACTGAGGCAGGCATAATGCGCAGTGCTTGCGTGTATGGAAGCAGTCTGGGCCTATGTTGAGTGCAGGTTGTGCCCATGTTGGGCCAAGTCGGGCCCATCGGGCCTTCCTGGAGCCCAAAACCACGTAAAAACCGAGGTTTTGTAACATCGCCAAGATGAAATTCCTTCCCGCCGAAGGGCCCAAAACACCCAAAAAAACGATAAAGAACGATGTTTTTAACACCGCAAGCAAAAAACACCGTAAATTACGTAGGCTTCAGTCCCTCGGGAGTGGTCTGGGGGTGGGCCGGCGGCAGGGGGGCAGCGCCTATAACCTTCGGTTACCACGTGGCCGGCGCCCGGATCTGTTTAATTTAGGGGATGTCTTAAAATCAGAGACCCAAAAAACAAGTGGTTTCTAGTGTTAAAAACGTGTAAAAACATGTAAACAAGACATATTTGGATTATTAATTTTTCGCGGTTCCCTTTTTCAAGACCCTTATTTTGCAGTTAGTTAGTTGGAATGTTGTTTGCTACACTTCTTATGCTGCCCTTAGATTTGAACTGATAGACACTTGACGGTCAAGAAAAATCAGCCATGGGGAAAGACACATGTGCCATGACCAAAACCATGGTTGATTTCACTTGATTTCCCAAGCACTTCGTTAATGGACGGTTTCATTTTCGGCTGGGATGTGGGAGCACATGAGCCAATCCTCCGCTCGTATCGTGGCAGACCATCCGAACGCCATTGATGAAACACCTACAACACCTAGTCATTCTTAGTCATTTTTCATTGGATAAAACAACCTCAACATACTCAATGGATTGGTTTCCGGCAAAAATCTACCATGAAGTTCTTACCGCCCTTCCTCAAATCGGGGTTCCTCTGGATTTCCCATGATCTGAGTCTGGACATACCTTTGTTTCTTTTCGTTTTCACGTATCATTATTCCAACAATTTCAATACCCTCTGGTAAACTAACATAACTATGGAAAATCACCATGCTATCAATGGGTAAATCTACTATTTCTATGGCCATTTTCAATAGTTTTTTGTATGTTTACCAGAGGGTATATGATAGCCTCAAGGCGGGTAAACTCCTGCCTATCCTTGGTGAAAATCCAGAGGCGGGGCTTCCCCCACCGTTGCCGCGTCCGGCACTGGCGGCTTGCAGCGGTGGGAGTCCCAATCCCTGAATGAACTAATGGAGAACTACATGGCGATAAATTTTCCAGCAAGACTTTTGACCGAAAGGGAACTACCTGGAATCCTCGGCGGTGCAGATTGGCCGACAATTTTGGGGAGTTCCCAGTCGAAACAAAACAAATTACAGAATAATTACCACGATATTAGATTCTCATCATTTCTGACAGGTTGATGATTTTATATGGCGAATCAGCAACAAGATAAGCAGAACCAGAAAGATGCCAAATTTTATGATGGGAAAATGAGGACATGAGATGGACGAATATCTAACCGAAGATCCCCGAAAAGGTGTACATCAGCTGGTTTCAAAGAATTCTTAACATTTTTATAACATACTGTGGGATTCAATGTTAGTATTACTGATTATTTCTTAACGTTCTTAATTCTTAACATTTTTAACATTCCTAATTCTTAGCACATCCCACAGTTTATTTCTATGTTAACATCACTGTGGGATTCGCCCTGCCATGTTAGCTGCTATGTTAACAGCCAGCTGGCGATGGTTGAACTCCGAAAAACCAAGGCGGCAGTGAGTCTCAGCAGTTGGACTCCCAGAGGAAATTCCTGTGGAAATTGTAGGATTTAAACGTATAATATCGTATAATATCGCATAATATCGCATAATATATATATATACAATACACTGACATGTGTATACATAATTATATATATATATATATTTGAGTATGTAAATATGTATGTAAAATGCATATATATATATATATATATATACACACATATACACACGCGCACCACGATATATGATAGATTTCACCAGCGCGCGCCCGCCCCAAGCAACAATGGGGATTGAACCAGCCAAGTTTCGGGATCAAGCAGCAAACACGTGATTCAAAGAAAAGAAACGGAGGTCAATCCAATTTTTCAGCGGTTAAACATATGGTTAAACATGGTTAAACATGGTTAAACATATGGTTAAACATATGGTTACATATGGTTACATATGGTTAAGCATGGTTAAACGTGGTTCAACATGGTTAAACATATAGTTAAACATGGTTAAACATGTTTTTTACATTGTTTTTTACATGGTTAAACATCAGCCCGTGAATAGGATCATCCCTTAATTTTCATACTTCATTCGTAGTCTACGAATGGCAGATGTTACCGATCGTCCCAGCACGAGCACGCACGAATCATATTCCATTTTGTGACAAGCGAAATTTACCCTCTGGTAAACTAACATAACGATGGAAAATCACCATTCTTAATGGGAAAACTCACTATAAATGGCCATTTTCAATAGCTATGTTAGTTTACCAGAGGGTAGATGTGGTTGCACTTCCAGTTATTGTTTAGGTGGTTTTATTCATGAATTAACTGGACCATATTGGACCATAGTATGGCCATAGTCACGATGCTCCGTCGCGAGGCTTCAGCATTGCCTTTGCTGATTGCGACCAGGACATGGAGAAAGCTCCATGGGCTGCGGGTGGAGTCTTCCAACCAGAATGTCGTACGTGAATGCCATAGAAAAAAATACGAACTCCTCAAAATCATGGGGGGATATTCCCATTTAATGCTGGTTGGTGGTTTGGAACATGGCTTTTATTTTTCCAGATATTGGGAATGTCATCATCCCAACTGACCTTCATATTTTTCAGAGGGGTTGAACCACCAACCAGAATGGGATTTAGAGGATTATTAATTTCCTTTAATCCCATGGTTTGTTCTTATCCCCACCCATTAAAGGCTGCGGAGAGTTGGTTCCAAGGTTGCATCCATGAAATGCTTGGGGAAAACCCGGCTGAAAGGTCTGATATCTATGGATCTCCAAATTCAGTGGTTTATCATATTCCCTATGAAAACAGCTATTTGGGGAGTACACCCCAGGTGCAAAATGGGATGGTTCCATGCCAGACATCATCAAAATCATGGTTCACTACTGAATTTCATCAACAGGGGCAATCATGTCACAAAACTGCAAGCAACATCAGATCCGGGTACATCAAACCAAATATACAATCCATGTACCAGTATCCCCAGAAATGATGGAAACATGTAGGCTTACAGCTGGTTAAAAAACAAAACAAAGCAACACTGATGGTTTCTAGTCATGTGTTTCCTTTAAATTCAATCCATTATAGGGGCTTGTCTGCAAATAGGGTATTTGACGGTTGGTAATTATATGTACCATCCTAAATTGGTCACATATCAGTAGGTCTACCCCATCCTATCAGAAAAACCCAACTATCATATCAAATTGGTGCAGAGGATCCCATTACATCATATTGCTAGTTGGTGGTTTCAAACATTTTTTTAATTTTCCATTTCATATATGGGATGTCATCCTTCCCATTGACTTTCATATTTTTCAGAGGGGTAGGTCAACCACCAACCAGTCATTATTGACCATTCTTCACCATTATTAACCTGGTTGGTGGTTTATGGAACATGGCTTTTATTCCATATTAATTGGGAATGACATCATCCCAACTGACGAACTCAGATTGTATCCACATTATGAACCCATTATATCCCCATGATATGGGACCCATGGGTGCAACAGTTATCCTCCAAATCAATTCACTGGTGTTCACTGTGTTCATGGAGCCCATCATGGAACCCCATCACATGATGGAACGAGGCTTAAATAGCCGTGATTCGTTCCATGAATTCATATGAATTCCATCATTTTGCCATCAATGTTCCATCATGTTTTATCATTTTGCCATCAATTTCCTGTAAGCATTTTCCCATGATTTTGGAGGGTATAATCAGTCACAATCAGTCGATGGCGATTTTCTTGGGCTATTCACCGTTTGATCAATCGCAAGGACTGGTTTTCGCGCCGCGCTGTTCTGTTGGGTCTGGCCAGTCTCGCTGGGGCAATTTCTCGCGCGCCAGCGCAGGTGCGACGCGGATCTACGCTGTATGTGAGGCTTTTAGCCATTCATGTGGTAAAGCCAACAAAAACCATGCCCAAATGGTCGGTGGTTCTTGGGTTTACCACACTAATCAAATGAGGATCTTATAAGGATTTACCCCTGGTAATTGAAAATAGCTTTGGAAGCCATGGCCCAATCATAGACGATTTACCTATTTCGAACTTCTGTAACATCTATTGACAATGGTGATTTTCCATAGCAAACTGTTAGTCATTACCAGAGGGTAAGGCATCTGAGACTTTTAGCCATGACACTGAGGATCTACTGACGGTGATCAGCAGCATGAATGAGGTGACGAAGTCTTGTAGCGAAGATGGGAGTCTAAGAACATGTCATGTGATGCTTCTTCACTTCTGAAGTTTGAGTATTTTAGGTTATCCTCTGGTCATGGAAAATGGCCCATTTATAGATGATGTTCCCATAAAAAAAACCTCCATTTATAAGGGATTTTCCATGGCTATGTTAAATAACCAGATGGTATATATAAATTATATGTATATGTATACACACTACAAATGAATAAGATATCCTGATATAATATTGGTATATCTTGGTGTTTGTGAACATGGCGGCTTCAATGCACCTCCTCCGAGGAGTTTGAGGGATGACCAGATGGATACATATGGAGGTTTCCATAAATGGGGATATGGGGATATCCCAACAATGGATGGGTTAATGGAACATCCCAAAGCTGCATATATCTACTAAGTATCTGTTTATTCAAGTTGGCTACATCTCTATATATCATCTGGCTATTTAACATAGCACTCATCAGCTGGTCATAGTTGGGCATGGTTCAAAATGATCTACCCCCAAGATTGAATGAATTCAAAATTACCATCACATAGCCATGGAAAATCACCATTTTTAATAGGTAAACCATGTATCAATGGGCCATTTTCCATGGCTATGTTAAATAACCAGAGGGTATCATTATTGTGGTATATGTTGGCTATATCTGCTATTATTGTTCGGGTAGGTTCCCCGATCCGGCTCAGCCTGTGCTTAGCTGCGCTCTAGCTCTAGGCAGCGATTCCAATGATGGAAGAGTTCTACCAGGCGATGATGATGGGGTCGTTACCTCTGATGCAAACTGACATACGGCCGGTGGTTCATCCCACTTACTAGGTAGGTTACAAGCCTATTTTTTGAGTGGCTTTACCCTACTTATCCAACTTATAACTAGGGATATAACTTAAGTTACTTGCGAAGTGGGATGAGCCACCAAGTAGATATGCAAAACTGATTTTGATCAATGATGAAGTTCTCGTTCGGAAAATGGACTACAAAAGGCTGGGTTTGATTTGCTGGACGGTGCTAATGTTACAACAGCAATGCACCAGGCTCGGCCCAACCAATGATCACTTTGTAATTTATCCTCATATTGTCATATGTGTGATAGTTAAAACATGTTAAAACCCCATCGAAACCCTAGAACTGACGGTTTTTACTCCAATTAAAAGCACCAATAAACCATCAACTAAGCACCCTTTATCAAGCATACTTTATACATGTCCCCATGGGACATGCGCCATGGCACAATCCCCGAAAATCATCTCATCCGCCAGGGCAGTGGAAGCCAAGTGGCACTACCAAAGGAAGAGCTTCAGGCGGACCCGCCTTGATCTGTGATGACCCATTGGATCATTGCTGACCATGAAATCTGGATGATCATCGTGATTTATTTCATCAAAATCTGGATTTCATAAAAAAAATGGATCATCTGTGTGATCACCTCATCAGACTTCAATGGGGTTTCAAAAAAAACACGGGCGCAATAGATACTGTATACAGTAGTTTTATGATAGTTATACATATATATATATAGAAGTATATATATATATATATATATTTGTATATGTATAGGAAATATATATAGTTGGAACATATACAATGACATACAAGGGGGATATATATGAGTATACTGGGTGCGTTGAACGAATTTCACGACACTTGGTTGTGTCACCACAGTTGATTGTTTAGGAACTTGATACTCTGAAGCATATCCAGTCATGGGTTAATAGTGACATAATGTGGATGTGTGTCGCTGTATAGATGTAGAAACATAGAGATAAATGATAGCTATCTATATATGCATATAGTTCTCCATGTTCTACCGGCTTAGTTGTCTATCTACTTGTCCATCTATCCACCATAAATCCTAGTTAGCCCAGTTATATAGTGACTTACCTATCGCTTGGGGGCAACTTCCTGAAAAGCTTCAGAAATTGGAAAAAAACTGAGGCGATGGAGAAAGCCTACCGCAAAGCATGGGAGAAGCAAAAGAGTCGCTTGGTGACAGATGATGTGGGATACTTGGATGTGCATCCCACTCAGTGAGTGGTTTATAATCCATATACCCTCTGGTAATTTAACATAGCTATGGAAAATCACCATTTTTAATGGGAAAATCCACTATAAATGGCCATTTTCAATAGCTATGTTAAATTACCAGAGGGTATATATATGTATAACGCATAGTTCATACCATATATAAGTGGTCATATTCAAGACATGGGGTCGGTGGAGACAAAGCAACACGCTGACTTCACCAGAGTCATTTTCATGGTTTGTCAATAATTATTGCTAACAATGACAAACCATTGTGGTAATAATTATTAACCATTGTTAGCAATAGTCATTAATGGTCAATAGTCATAATAACCATTGTGGTTAATCATTATTGTCAATGCTTAACAATAATGGTTAACAATAATGGCCATTGCTAATCATTGATGGTTAATAATGGCGTATTGATAAGAATTGACGACTCAATTTCTTGGGGGTTGTCCTCCAGTAATCAAACATGGCTAGGTCATGCTAGGTCTTCTGTAGTTATGGAGCTTTCGTTGGCCAAGTCATCGAACTACCCTCTAAACATACAAAAAACTATGGATTAAATCACCACTTTGAATGGGAAAACACTATTTCGCTATGGCCATTTTCAAGTTCGCAAAGTGTAACAGTCATTACTGGCGGGTAGTTGGTGGTGGATTTTCCAGCCACGGAGTGTTGGGAGCTTTTCTGGGTCAAAATCATGTCATAGGTGGGAGAGCCGTACCTTCAGTGTTTTGTTCGTGATTTTCGGGACGAAGTACCTTCTCAGGGAGTATTTGGATCGATAAGGATTGAACCATATTGAACCCATGTATACCAACCATATCAACCAGCATGTTTTAGTGTTTGGCAATTGTGACATATCAACCTCCAAGCATGGTGAGAGATACAAAAAGGTCATGGATTATATAAACACATTTCATTGAGAGTGTACAAATCAAACTATACATACTGTACATAATCATACATACATAATCAATCATAATCATACATATCATCACACATACATCTCATCATACATACATATAAATGTATAGACACATACTATATATATACATACTGATGAAGACAATGACGCAATGCTAAAGGTTTCTTGTTGTGATTGTTGGTCTTTAATGGCTGCCATTCATAAATCCTTCGCTTCGTGTTGGTCTTGGGGTCACCTTTGGAGTGTCGTGTGGACTTTTGTGAATCCAGACGTACTGGAGTGAGAATGTAGTTTTTATGCAATACTTGACCTACCCGGGGCCGGTTTATTATACCACTCATTTATGATCATATAGGTGATAGCTTTGAATTTGGTTTTACCACATGAGTCCAGTATCTCCCAAGATGGAAACAAACACTTTTCTTGAAGAGTCCGGAAGTCCGGACGTGTTTCCGAAAGACCAAAACGTTGATTCTACTTTTCGATTGCATTGTCCCCATGGTCGCCAGTTGTCTCCATCACTCATATGTTTTATGGTTATGAGTTATGACTGTTGTTGTTTTTCATTTGCGTATATTTCCATCCATGTCACTGGGTTGTAGAACCTTTGTGGAGCTGTGCGGATATATGGATGAGATGATGATCGGGACAGTGTAGTACTCCAGAGCCACTTTGGTACGGGTATATCAGCATGGGTGAAGCTGTTGAAATTCAATTTAGGGAGAAAGTCGACACACTTTGACGTAGCAAGTCCGGCGAAAGCGACTTGGAGACAATAGCTCGCATTTCCAGTTGCCGCACTTCGCCTAGTTATGGACAATCAGAATCAAGAACCATACTTTGGGCGACTCCCCAAATGCAAAATGGTATTGGTAGTGCATATTAATGCTGTGAATGTCTGTTTAAAGCTTGAAACATACTCGGCAGAGGACGCAAGAGTTATATAGGGCCGCGGCAGAGCCCCGAAACATATGAGCAACTCCAGCGCAAGGCTATCAGGTCTCGAGCGCGGTTCCAGCTATTCGATTCCGTTCATTTTGCCCAGCCTGGAAGCCAACTGGTTCCCCAGGCTCCAAGAGAGGCCGCTAATTACACATAGGGGCATTGAAAGACACGTTTGCATGTCTTGACATGCATATCAAGATCGAGAAACATGATGTGTTGGCGCTTGCATTTAAATTCACCATTATAGCAGCATCAATATTGTTTGGAAAGAAAGGTTTATCTTGAAATCTGGACATTTGCATGCATATGCTTCAGATATGTTTGGACGTTGAAGCATAAACCAACATGAATGTGAGTATTGGGGATTCTTTTCTTTGGCAAAGCTCATGTTTCACACAGCATACGAGCAAGCTACCAGCCACGAAACTAGCATTGGCACAGGTGTTGGATATGTGGCTGTACGGGTTTTCGCCCTCCAGACCAGGCTTATCCATAACAGAAGCAGCATCAGGAGCACTGACGTCCTTGAGTCTTGGCACGCACGATGCGGAATGACGCGGTCCCACAAACCAGTGAAGGAATGTGAAGGATGATATGCACATGCCAGTCTGTGTGAACATGGCGGATGATTGATCAGTGTAGAATATTTTCGGTATCCTATGTTTTGTCGAGACAGGGCCATATCGTGAACTAATCTGCGCGCGGGTGTTTGATTGCATATGGACATACGAACATACGGACAGAAAAAAAACAAACGACCCGATGCCCCATGATGTGGGTGGGGATTCTGCCAGAAGGTCAGACATCTATTGTTCCACTACTATGCAAGCAGTGGCTGAACAAAGCACCGAATAGTACGAGAACGTGTACAACTAGTGTTTGATAATATGAACGTTTTTCATCGCACTGTTCGGCAGAAGTAGCGTGAGGATTCATTACCGTTTCGTTTTAATTTGGAAGATCAAACGTTTGCAGGCCAGAACCAGTTCAGAGGAAACTTGATTTTTTTTGACATATCATGGCAATTACTCGTACCCTCTGACATTTTACCCCGTCACCCCAAAATACTGTAGGTGACAGTTGGTCGTGATCATTTTCAACAACATGTAGCGGATGTGAGGTTGAACCGCGATTCATTCATGGTCCTGGTTCGACACTGGGTTCCATGGTAGGTTGGTGGTTTCATTGCATGTGTTTACTTCGACAAATATCGATATTTAGTTCGCATTTCATTTATTTTTGCATTGTTCGGGCATGTTCGGGCCATCACTGATTGAAACCGTTTGCATGGTTCCGAAACATTGAAGACCAATTTACAGGGCGCACTTTGTTTGTTTTTTTGCTGTTGCGTATCGCTGGGGGGCAAGTATCATAGGCACCAAATTTTTAAGGAATCCAAATTTGGCCTAGATTTAACGTTTGACATCGGCATTCAAAATGTTCACGTGCAGTGGCCAACGCCCAAATTTCTGCCAAGGAACGACGTGCCTCAGATGCTGAAAAGTGGCGACTTTGATGGTGTGAGGAGCAAACACCGTATAGGAACGCATTTCCAGATAATATTGGTGTTTGCTACAGAGTGAGTGGTAAAATCTTGGGGTTTACCATCCATAATAATTGTTTGAGCGTCAAACTTGGGGTTTTACATAGTTTAACCATGGAATCATTCCAAGTGTGAACCCTAAAACACCTTGCTGAAGGTAGTTTAATGGATGTTGTTCATGCGTTGTTTGTTTCACTCCCTTGTGGCGAGTGGTATGATGGGCCGTTGGGACTGATACATTGGGTTATCTCCCGCCCACTAGTTGAAAATCCAGGAGATTCTTCGGTGGGGGTATATTGTATCTCCCAGGTCAAGAATGGGGTTGTAGCCAAGTTGTAGCCCGAGAGGGATCCGTAGAGTATATCCAGTAATCCAGTATATTCCAGTATATATCCCAGTTGTATCGCTGGAGTATCACAAGAATATCGTGTGGTACGTTGGAGCTGTGTCGCATCTGACTCTCGTTCCAGAGTACCTGCCTACATGCGGTATTAGCCAAATTTGATGGCTAAGCCTCATTTTGTTGGTTATTTTCCGTTTTATTGGTTGTATCGTTGATTCTTACATGCTGGAAGAAAAGGATATCATACAGATACCAAGAGAGTTGTTTTACAACTGGTTCATTCAACCAGATGTTCAACCAGATAGATGTGTTAAACCAGATGTTTTCAACCAGTGATTCATTCAACCTGTGGGATACAACCACAGTTTTGTGATGTATTCAACCAACACCCAGATTCTGGGATTTTGTATCATACACGTGCCGGAAATCACTGTGGTTTTTCAGGCTACTACCCTTGGCCATGCTCTGAGCTTGGCGCCCGCAGGACTCTCTTGCTGTCCCCTTCTGTGCAGCCCTGAGATGTTTGTTTGGTACATTTGGAGGTTTCCTGATATGGGCACCTCCAAATCATCCAAATTAGATCAAATTTGTCATTTTTTTTGGTTAATCCCCCCATTTTAAGACCCCAAAAATGCCGGCGTGGCGCTTTCAGAATGTGTCAAAAACATGTCTATCCGGTGGCGGAGCTATGACAGTAGCGTGCCACTGGATTGCTCCACGATTGCCAGAAGGGAAAATGCTGAGTTTACCATGATTTTACCATACTTTACAGTGATTTTAACATTCTTTACCGTGGATTTAACATTCTTTACAGTGGATTTTAACATACTTTACAGTGATTATTCTACATTCTTTAATATTGTTTACCATATTTTAAAGTGATTTTTATCATACAGAAACCAATCTTCACCATATTTCACCATGATTTTACTGCATCTTACCGTCTACATTTCCCCCGGGATCTCCCGGCCCAGGTGGGAGCCATCGGCATCGTTCCTGGGCAAAAACATAATGGCATTCATGGTGTGTATATATATATATACAGTTAGTTATATATTGTTTATGTATATTATGTATATATAATAACATTATATAACCATATATATATATATAGTTATCAATGGTTATTCATGGTATTCATGATTACAAAGCCTTATGAATGGTTAATGCTTCCTGGTTCGTCAAAGTGACCTTTTCAACCACGGATGCATCGTCATCTGGCGATGGGTCAAAACCCTTGGTGCCCTGGTGAAACCCCAAATTGCCAGGTACGGTAGATTTTGATCCCCATATGATCCTGATCGAAAACAGTATAAGTGGAATGGATATACAGTTATATACAGTGATAAGTGGAGGTGATCCCATTTTCATATAGAGTTATAGAGTTATACCTCCAAGCAAAGATGGCAATGGAAAACAGTATAAGTGGAATGTTAATCGGAAGTTTATCTATAAATGCTGGATTTCCCAGCAAGGCATGTATGCTTAATTACTGAAGGGTATCATCTAAAATTGGGTTTGGGATGGATCATAGATTATTTGTAGATTTGAGCAGATGAAAGATCATAATTGATCCAGATTTGTTCTTTTTGAAGGGCAATGTTGGTATGTTGAGCATCATATTGTTCGTATCTCCAGTCTCCAGCTTTTAAAGAACATTGTTCAATGGGATGATGGTGAAGTATATGTAAAATTTTTCTGGCTTGGAGAACGCCTTCAGAGGCTCCCAAAAATGGTCAGGCTTTCGACCCGGTGGTGCCCCACCTCGGAGCAGACAGACTCAAACACAAGATTGTTGTTGATTCATCCCCATTCTATCGATAGATCATTTTCATCATTGTCTTCAATCACTTGAGCTGTGTTCAAGACCCTTGTTGCTTGATGATAGGGGGTTGTACTACCCAATACATTGAGGATTGCACATATTTGATCCATGATTGGAAGCCCAGTTTTAATCACGCCCAGTTGAAGTCCCCCTCACGCGTGGGTGGCAGCCCCTATGGGGCCTGGGCTACCCAATGTGGCGATTCCAGGCGCTCCAAAGTTGGGCGATGACCCTTACCCCGTCCGTTTGCGGAAGCACCAGGTTTTCAAGGTGAAGTGAAGGTTGTGAGCAAAAGGCGATGATCAACATGGCTCTAGTTTCCAAAAACAACATGATTTTCCTTGCTGATCTTGTTGTATGATTGATCATACATACACACACATTATATATATATATATGCATATGTAATATACATAAATATGTACTAAACCCGAAGAGATGGACTGGTAATTTGCCACTCTTCTAGTCGGATTTTGATGAACAGATACCGAGCACTGGGCACTTTTGACATCCCGGAAAACTATATCTGCCCATCTGTTTGTCATGGTTGCGGAAAGACATCAGCATCATTCCCAGGAAGGGCATCCCCTGTTGCGTTGCTTTGCCGGGGTCTGTTTGAGATCCACCAGAAATTGAATGGTTAGCACAGTTCTGAGCCAATTTAAAATTATCTCATAAGCCCATTTATAGTTATATCATATGTTATCATCAACTATCAATCCTCATCTGGTTGGTGGTTTGGAACATTTTTTATTTTTCCATATATTGGGAATAGTAACCCCAACTGACTTTCATATTTTTCAGATGGATAGGTATACCACCAACCAGTCATTGTTGGTGTCAAAATTGTCTGTGATCACACAAGGCTGGGGAGTTCTGATTAGTTAAATCACATGTTTTGGCTGGTTAACTCCCTTGGTTGATGAGCTAAATCATGTTAGATCATGTTAGAACACCACTATTTTCATGTTAAGTCCTTTTAAAACACCATTAAATCACCATTTTCCTGGGTTAAATCATGTTAAATCTTTTTAAAGCACTATTAAAAATCACCATTTTTCTTTGTTAAATCATGTTAAATCCCTATTTTGACGAGTTAAAAACCCATCATTTTCCCCATCCTCTCGGTAGATGCCAGGTGCGAGTCCAGCGCCTTGATCGCGCGTGGAGCACTGCAAGAGCTGGAGGTGAGCCGTCGGGGGAAATCATTGATAAATCATTCCCCTATTATTGGGAACTATAATGATTGATGTTAGGGGAATATTTGATATAGGCTATTGATTTATAATAAGTCATAATGATATTGATAATGACTAGTATCTAATCATGATCGGGAAATAGAATGATTGATCTTCCCAGATGATAAATCCATGATTTATAATGATATTGATCATGATATTTTTGGGGGATGATATTGATAATGATATTTATGGGGAATGATATTGATAATGATATTTATGGGGAATGATATTGATAATGATATTTTTTAGGGAATGATATTATATTAATGATATTTACAGGGAATGATATTGATAATGATTCATTATCAATTGATATTGATTTATGATAGTATTGGGAATGATAATGGGGAAATTGATAATCATGGGATGTATGAAATATAATATCAATGATTTTTAGGGAATGATATTGATAAATAATTCCCTATTACTGGGAAATATCTCATATCAATAATTTATAATTATACTTATAATGATTTGCATCTATTAATCATGATTGGGAAATATAATGATTGATAATAGAGGAATATTTGATATATGATATCGATTATAATAATTATAATCATAATTCCCCTATCCCTGAGCATCCGATATTGATTTCAATCAATATCAGTTTTGTGATATTGATTTCAAAGGGAAATCAATATTAAAATCAATATTTCTCAACCTCAAAAATCAATATTTTTTTCTAGGTTTTTGAAGACAAAAATCAATATCCAAAATCAGCATTTTTTGACTTTTTTTTGGCCCCAAACCTCTACTTTTAGGGTACTTTTCCCAGGCCATCCACTCTCAGCTGCCAAGCACTTTTTAAACCATGAGTGGGTGAATCCTGCTCGAAGTTCAAGCCTTTTTTGCAAAGGCACCTTTTTCTCTTTTGTGCTGCCTTTTTCCCAAAAGTCTCCATATGTGAGCTACCTTTTTTCCAAAGGCTTCCTTGTGAACTACTTTTTTCCAAAGATTTCCTTAGGCCACAGGTCAACCTTTTTTCCAAAGGTTTCCATGGAACCTTTTTTTCAAAGGTTTTTGCGACCTTTTTTCCAAAGGCTAACCTTCCATGCTGAAGCCTTCTCTTGTAAGCAACAAATGGAGTAGAATTGCATACTTGGGGAGAACTTTGGTGCTGAGCCTGGTGCTTGCCACTCCAGAGGTGCAAGAGTGTGCAAGCCTGGCTATAGCCCCCACAAAGTCTTCTGACTTAAAGCACCAATGGAATCTGGGATTCATTTCTGCAGCTCCAAGGCAAAGATGGATGAAGGTGTGGTGCTTGAAGACAATGTGGAAAAGCTTTCTGCCAGATGTTTCTGCCCAATGGTTCAAGTAGGTGTATTCCTGCAGGAAGGAGTTGCACAAACTCATTGTGAATTCTTCTTCTGCTTCAGTGAGGAAGATGTCTGCTGAATCCCACAAGAAGACCAGCTGCACCATGATCTCGACACATTGTATCATATGGGCATGGTGGTCCCTTTCTGGACCAAGCATTTTTTTCATCACCTCCAGCAGGGCTGGTGCCAACCATTTGCATTCGCCCCCTTTTGCATCTAGGAATGCATGGGACTGGTGTGGGGACTTTTCATTGGTAAACATGCTGAGCTTGAGGTTGGTGAGCACTGTTCCAGCCCCTTGCACTTTGTAGAATTTCTGCACTTCAGTAAAGATGACAGCAAGGCGCTCCTGTGGTTTGACCACTTGGTGTCCAGTGATTGGGTCAAACCAGCACATGTAGTGCAGGCAGCTTCCCAACAGATGGGCATACAATCCCTTTGTGAAAAGGATATGTAAGCCATCCCCCCTCACCATCCTGCTGGTGACCCCATCAATGCTGAAGATTGGATGGGTAGAGCTGGGGTTGGCCTTGGCCACCTTTGTGTTCACATAGGTGAACACATCTGGATCCAACCAAGAATATGGAAGGTCTCCACTCTTGCTGGTGCAGTTGCATTGGTGGCATGGATTCTTTGATGCCCAGTGAGGCAAGCCCAGCTGCAAGGAGAAGAATTCCTGATCACCAATGATGGTCCAGATGGCTGCTGAGAAAGAAGATGCCAAAGCCTTTCCTTTGTGTGGATAGAAAGGCGACCCTTTTTCCAAGGGTTTTCCATCTGGATCCCTGGAGGGGTGGAAGCCTTTTTGCAAGGCATGGAAACTCCAGCTGAACCATTTCCACAAAGCTGGCCAGGTGTCCTTTGTGGTGGCCACCTTTGGGAAGACACCCATCAAAAGGTGAGAGTCAAGACTCCCAAAGAGATTGAGGACACACCCAAAGGAATATATCATGAGAGAATCCCTTGTCATAAATTCAGCACCATCCCCATGCACAAAGATGGGTATTGTTTGGGTCCTCCAATTCTCCCTTTTTTTCAAAGGGTGCCCCTTCAATCTATCATCCTTCTTGCTTTCAACCCCCTTCCAAAACTCTTCTAGCTTTGGTGGGCAAAACAGCTCTGCCCATTTGGTTGGATAGTGCTCATAGAGAGCTGAGAACATTGTGTGGGGGAGAAAGATGGATGCTGTGGAGGTTGAAGCTTGGCTGGTTTTGGGATCCAAGCAGGGCACCTCCACATCAAACCCAGCTGGGATGGAAACATTAGGCAAAAAGGTTTGCATGATTGCCTTGTGAATGTTCCCTGGGTTTTCACCATAATTGCCACTTTTTGCAAGGGCTGCCACTTCTGCATGGCTGGTTCCACCAAGCTGTGCCAAATGTGCCAATTCTTGTATGGCTATGGCACTCAAAGTACCATGGGCCCAGTGGCTCAGCAGCTTGGTGGCAAAGGGGCTTGGATCTTCTGCCTCTGCATCTGGCCTTTCTGCAAGGCCTAGCTCCACATCCTTTTTCCATCCCCTTAATCTTTTTGTCATTGTTCAAGGGTTTCTTTTTTCCAAAGAATTTCTTGCCACCTTTTTTCCAAAGGTTCCCCTGGAATCTTTGCTCCAAAGCCAAAGCCTTTTTGCCAAAGCCTTTTTCCCAAAGGCTCCTTTCAAAGACTTGCTTTTGCCCCCTTGTCTGCAGCCCTTTTTCCAAGGGCTCTCTTTCCCAGAAACTAAATGGTATTTGCCAGCTACTCTCTTGAGCAACAGCTGGCTGCCAACAAGCATCCTTGACTGAGACCTTATGCAACAGGGGGGCAGGTGCTAAGTGCTAACAGTATTACAAACAAGCATGCAAAAAAAAACAGGCACACACATTTATAACAAACCTACAAGACAAGACTCAAATGGTATCATGCCCCCTTGCCAACCCCCCTGGTGAAGCTCCTTTTTGCTTGGTGAATGGACAAAAGTCTGGTGTCCAGCCATGAAAAAATGAAAGGGAACCACCTTTCTTGCAAAGGTTCCCTCTTGTGAGGGGGCTCCCATCAAAAAATGTCTTTTTCCAATGCATGCTACCCAGTGGCCCTTTTTCCCAAAGGATGTTTGGAACTTGTTTCTCAAAATTGTTTCCCACCTCACCTTGTGCTCAAGTGCTGTACATGTTTGGCTTACCTTTTTTCCAAAGGCTTCTCTTGGGGTACCTTTTTTCCAAAGGTCTCTTGTGGGTCTACCTTTTTTCCAAAGGTCTCTTGTGGGACTACCTTTTTTCCAAAGGTCTTTTGTGGAGAACTTTTTTTCCCAACTTCCTTTTTCTGCAGCAACCTTTTTTCCAAAGGTTTACTTTTTGGACTTGGCACTGGCTGCCTTGGAAGCAATGCTGCCAGCCTTGTTGGCCAATTGCTTCAACTCTTTCATTGTGTCCTTTACCTCCTTGACTTTGTTGGCAGTTTCTTGAAGCATAGACTTTAACTTTTTCAGGGTTACATTTTCTTTGCTGACAGCTTCCTTCAGTTTGTTGCCCATGGCAGCCAAGAGCTGCTGGTCCTTCAAGCCATTTTGCTTTGATGCCTTGCTCAAGTAGGGGTTTGCTTTTGCCAAGCAATCCTCAAAGTCTGCACAGACTGCTGTTGCCATGTCCCTGGCCTTCTTTGCTTTCTTGTAAGCATCCTTCAGCTGCTCTTCTTCTGTTTTGTCTTCATCCTCTTCTTCATCTTCTGTTGCTTTTCTTCCCTATCCTGCAAGGCTAGCTGACTATCTCCTTTCCCTTTTCCCTTTCCTTTGCCTTTCCCTTTCCCTTTGCTTGAGCTTTTTCCAAGCCCTTTGCTGCCAGAACTCTGAGCCAAGAGCCTGCTGGCATTAGCTTTCATGTTGCCTTGCATGCATGAGTCCAGCAGCATCTCATCATCAGAGTTTGGAACATACTCTTGTGCAATTCTGGCTCGGTTTTTTGATTGTGCAGCCTGGACTGTGACCCAATCCTGCATGTCACAATACTCATAGACCCCCCAGGTAGAGGCACACTCCCTTGCTACAATCCTCCCAGATGCTAAATGCATCTGTAATTCCTCCCAAGACCATCTTGTGAGCATCACCATCTCACTGACCCACTGCTCACTCCTCTTTGCCTTGGTGGATCCTTCCATCTCCTTGGACACCTGGTAGTACTTTGGATGCTCTTTTTTCAAGAGCCACGCCATTGTCATGTCAGTTTTTTCCTTTTTGTTTGCTTCATCATATGTGCTCTTTTCATCTTGGTTGCCCTTCAAGTAGGTCTGGTGTTTGGACCAAAGTTTTGTTTTTTCATCCTTGGTCATGAGCTTCTGCAGGAGTGCCTTTGCTCCTTCCACTGTGTCTTCCTCACCTGCTTTTTTCAGCTTGTCTTGAAGAGACATTTGCCCTTGGCTTTTTTCAAGCCTCCTCAAATTTGCTGATGTAAGTGTTTTCATTGCCTTTTTGCCACCAGTTTTGTTCTTTTTGCAAGAACTCTTAGCTTTTGCTTTTGCTTTTGGCCCTTTTTGCAAGGGCTTTGATTTCATGGCCTTCCCCATGGCACCCTTTTGAAATCTAGAAATAACAACCTTGAGCCAAACATGTTTCAGGTGACATTCATTTTTTTACATCTTTTCCCAAAAAAATGAACTTTGGTGAACTTTGGTCAATTTTGGTCAATTTTGGTCAAATCTAATCAAATTTGGTCAAATTTTGGTCAAACATATGTTTTGACTAGATTTGACCAAAGTTTGACCAAAGTTGACCAAAATTGACCAAATTTGACCAAAATTGACCAAAACTGAAAAATATGGATTTGTTCCAGAAAAATGGGACCAATAGATTTCATCAGTGTTTTGAAATTATTCTTTGTGGGGAATGGCCAGAAACATTTTCTTTAACAGACATGAACCATTGCTGTATGATGTGTTATTTTGTGGAGTGGCAATCACAATGTTCTTTTCACAAAGATAAACCATTGTTTTTTATGATCTGTGATCTAAAGAAAAGAATGTGCACCCCTGGTCTATCATCAGTTTGGTGGATCAAGAACACCCTTTGCAAAAAAGGGACCCTTTATTTTTAGATGGGTTTAAAGAGTTGTGACCCAAACCAGTTTCATGAGAAACATGCACATTTCCCAGCCCTTTTTTTCTGCCAGCTGGTGATGTACACCAGGGTTGTGCCAACAACTTTGCAACCTTCAGGCAGCCAGGCTTTGACCTTTTTTCCAAAGGTTCCTTCATTTTGAAGGGGCTGCCTTCAGGCAAAAGCAATATCTTTTTTCCAAAGATTTGTTGTTGGAGGTTGAAAAACACACCTTTTTTCCAAAGGTTCTTGATCCTGCTCATCATTTTGTCCTCCCTTTTTTCCAAAGGGTTCCCAATCATCTTAACCTTTTTTCCAAAGGTTTTCAATCATCCACAAGGGCTTCCACCACTTTGACAAAGTCCCTGTAGGTCTCCAGGCCTTCCTTCTTGGCCCATGTGTGGTGCTCATACCTGGTGGTCACTGGGTAGACCGGGTAGACCTTCAATCCTTTTTCCAAGGGTTCCTTGCAGATGTCTGCATTGTCATCTGCCAGGTGTGTGCACCCCAAATGCTTGGCCCACTCTGCTTTCCCCCAGGGGCCACACCTGTCCCCAACTACCTTGATGTAGCCCCACTTGATGGGGAGAGACTTGGCCCATTTGACCACTGTGTCACCCCTTTCTCTGCCACAAAAGGTCAGGAGATAAATCTCAAACCCTTCTGCCTGCAGGTCCCAGAAGGCTCTGATGTGGGCATTTGGCACATAGTCTTCCCCCCTGTAGGTCAGCTGGAAGACATTGTGCCAATCCAGGGCCAACCTTTGCCTTATTTCCAAAGGCCTAGGGATCTCTTGCCTTTTTTCCAAAGGCTCAGTGGCCTCCTGCCTTTTTTGCAAAGGCTCCAGTAGAGACATCCTGGCAGGCTGTGCAGGTGTCCCCTTGTGGCTGCTGGCCCTAGAGGAGCTGGCAGATTCTGACCCCAGGCTCACATACCCCCTGCTTGTTCTTTGCTTTTGCTTTGGGGTCTTGTGATCCTGCAACCCACCTTTCACCACCACATCCAGGTAGGTTTTTTTCTCTGCCTGCTTTTTGTTTTTCTTTCTTTTGTTTGTGGCCACTTGCCATTCTTCTTCTGTTGGCTCTGGTGCAGGCTCTTGCTTGACAGTTTCCAAGGGCTTGCCTGCTTCTTGTCCAGGTTCATTTTTTGCTTGCCCTTTTTCCAAGGGTTTTGCAGGCTCATGTGCTGCTAGCTCTGTTTCCACAGGCTTGCTTTCTTCTTTTTTTGGTGGTTCATTTTCTGCTTGCCTTTTTTCCAAAGGCTTTGCAAGCTCTTCTGTTGCTTTCCCTTTTTCCAAGGGCTTTCCAGGCTCTCCTTTTACTGCATCCTTTTCCAATGGCTTTTCAGGCTTTTCTTTTACTGCCTCTTTTTCCAAGGGCTTTGCATGCTCTCCTGAGGAAGAGCTGGCTGAGGCTCCACTTGCTGCCTCCTTTTCAGCCTTCTTGGGCTCCAATTTTTTGGATGCTGCCCCTTTCTCTTTGGGGTCATCTGTTGTTTTTCCCCTTTTTTCCAAAGGTTGTTGTGTCTCCTCTTGGATGACTTCCATTGCTTCAGTATTTTTTCCTTTTGCATTTCTGCATGCCCTTTTTCCAAGGGCTGTTGGTCTGTGTTTCCTGCAAACTGGGCTGCTCTTCTTGCTTGTCTGGCCCATGTGGTGGAACCCTTTCCTTTGAGTCTTCCCACTTTGTTGTATGGGTTCCACCACTCATCATCTTTTTCCCACTTTGCTTGATCCCACTTGTATGGTTTCTTGGCCATTTTTTCAATGGCTCCCAGAGGGTGCCTTTATGGCAAAGGCTGCCCTTGTTGCAAGGGCTTCCAAAGATCTTCTGCACCACCAGCCAAGGCGAAAGAGTAAGGTTGGTGGGCAAGTTTGAGCTTAAAAAGGCTGCAGACATGCATGGCTTCATCACTGTGGCAGAAGCTACTTAGCTGCAACTACCCAAGGCTGGACCCTTTCAAACCTATAGACCTGGTGCCTTTACTTGACAAGCTAACAACAACAGCAACAACTATACCTACCATACCATATTATTGGTGGGGGTCCCTACTTCAGGTGGCAGTGGGGTGGGCAAGCTGAGTGGCAGCAGCTACTTTTTGCTTGGCTGGGAATGTGCAAGCTCTGAGGTTTGGAAACAGAAAAACTTTGCCAAACTAGATCTGCTGAGCAGTTCTTGGCTGATTGATGCCTTGCCATACCTTTTTTTTTCAAAGGCTCAACCTGTTGCAAAAGCATGCAGGTACCTTTTTGCCAAAGGTTCTGTGACTGGCTGCCTGTTTTGAAAGAGGATGTCTTTTTTCCAAAGACTGTACCATATATCATTTTTTCCAATGGCTGTTGGCTGCATACTTCCTGCCATCAAAGGATATATAGCACACCCTTTTGTTTTCCAAATGTTTGTTTTTTCACAGGCAGTTTGCCACAACCTTTTTTTCAAAGGCTGCAGGCAACCTTTTTTTGCAAAGGCTGCAGGCAACCTTTTTTGCAAAGGTTGTGGCCTACCTTTCCCACATTTGCTACCTTTTTTCCAAAGGTTTTATTTTGGTTGGAATCTTCCCCAATCCTTTTTTCCAAAGGAGCCACCTTTCTTCCAAAGGTTGCCATTTTTGCACAAGTTTTAATCTATTGCTTGCTTGACCAGTTTGGACCTTAATTCCAAAGCTTCTGCTTTGGTGCTGCCTTTTTCAATGGCTTTCTTGGGCTTTCCAATCACACCCTTATAATCTTTGGTCCACTTTGCTGGGACCTCCACAATCAACATCCTTTGGGTGCTGCCTTTCTGGCACCCTGTGATATAACTTCTTTCTGGGTAGGTAGCATTGCACACACTCAAATGTGTCCATGTCTGGTGAGGGTCTATGTTGCTTGCCTGCCTTTTTTTCAAAGGCTTGCCTTTTTTGCTTGAAGCCTCTTTTTTCAAGGGCTTGTCTTTCTTGCTTGCTGGCCTTTTCATGGTTTTGCTTCCATACCCCATCTTTCTTTTCAAAGAATCACTTTTGCCACCACTGCTTTCACTGTCCTTTGCTTCTTTCTCTTTCCTTTTTTCCAAAGGGTTTGCTTTGCACATTGCTCCAGGCCTTTTCCATTTGGTGTCAGAAGGTTTGTGCACAATGGCTGTACTCTTTTCTTTTTTGGGTGATTTTTTGTCAGGTGTTGCAAACATGTTTGGCATGCCATCACTGTCTAGAGATGCCCCACTCAAGTTTGGCTTCAGTACTCTCCCTTTTTTCAAGGGTTCATCAGGCTCATCCTTAAGAACCACTTGGGAAAACACAGCTTCTAGCTCCTGGTACTCAGTGCTTGTCAGCTTGGCTGTGCACAGCCTTTGTTGTTCGATGTCTCTAGCTACTTTTCTGCAATGAGCCAGAAGAACTGTGATTCTCTCAGCTTTGATGTTTGCCCAAGTTGCTCCATTGAACTTTGATGTGTTTACTGACACATTGTGTGTCAGCAGGTGTGTGAGGCTTGTTCGAAGAGCTTGTGAAGAAACTTCACAAGTTGGTGTAGCCTCAATGAAATCCTGCAGGAGGCCTTTGCACTTGAGCAACCCCTTTGGATTTACTGCAGCTGTTTTTGAAATTGTCTCATACAGGCCCAGGTTCTTGACTGTTTCTGAATTGTTCTTCAGAATTTTCAGTAATATGCCCAAGTCTATTGCAGGCTTAGCAAAGTGTTTGGGGCCTCCCTTGGGCATTTCCCTTTTTCCAAGGGATGGTGCTTAACAATGTTAGCTGGTTTTCTCCCTCCTTTTTTCCAAAGGTTACCAAGATGCCCTTTTCTAAAAGCTGCAACAGCACAGGTGCCAAGGGGATGGCTTTGAACCAAAAACTGCAAACAAACAGTGTACATGCAGCACACTGCCAAATCTGAGTAGCTGATCCTTGAGGAAGCACAAAATCATCCATTTTAGCAGAAAAGTTGGTCAACCAAAAAATATGAAAAAATCCAACAGAAAATCAATATTGAAATCAATATCAAAATCAATATCCAAATCAATATTTTCACCAAAGAAATCAATATCCAAAATATTGATATTATCAATATTTTTTGAAAAATCAATATCAATATTTTTTCATAGGAAAATATTGATTGAAATCAATATCGGATGCTCAGGGATTATTGATATTGACTTATAGTGATCAATGACATATAATATTGGGAAATTGTCAATTGCTCATTGCTCATACCGGTCATGAAATGTAATCTAATCAATTATCAAAAATGGGGACGTATTATATAATCATAGAGGAATTATATTCTGATAAGAATATCAATGATGTAACGATATCAATGGATAAAAAATGATAATAACAAACCATTATGATATCCATCATTGATGATAATTACGGGGGTTCATGATTTTTGAAATCCATAGTAACATCATTTCTAGGTCAATTTTCGATGGGTAGAAACTAATCCTTTAGTCTTTTGGTATGGGATTATCTATGTTCACCAGCGAACTTACTTTTTTGCAGAGTATCTAAGATTGGCCATGATTTATCAACTGTTACAATGGTTTCAACAGGTTTTGAACGAGAACAGGGGATCCAAAAGGGCAAATGTTTAAATGAACTATTACACGTCTGTTGATGTGTTAATTTGCTGGGGGAAATATTCATTGGCTCTTTTGGGAGATTATGAACGAACCCATTTCATAGGAATATTTACCAACCAACCAGAACTGGGATGCAATAGGGGTATTTTGCATGGCTCAAATGGCAGGTAGCAAAAAAACACACTTACTAATTGTTTAGTTGTGTAACCATCGTTTGGAAATGAACACAACATTTCCAAACTACTTTCTTGTAACCATCTGTTTGATGGTTTCGAACAAAGCAACAAAATAAATCTTAATGGTGATAGCCCAAAACCTTGCACCCCTTTGGTACATATCAAAATGGCTGGCAATGGATGTTCATCCTCCACGTGGTATTATAATGTATTGGTCAATAATCAAATGAAATCAAATAATCATACTTTTTGCAGATTCCTACCATGTTGGCCTTTTGGGTGTGTTGTTTAGTTTGTACAACCATCTATAGTTATTTCATCACCAGGACCGCCTCAGCCAGTGACCAACAGCATCCTTTTCGCCATGAAAAGGTCGAAATCCTGCACCAATAGATGGGCAAAATCCCATTATTTTCTTTGGGTTTCAACCATCCCAAATTGGTGGTTTATCGGACTTCGCTAGCCCATCCAATGAGGAATTTGTGAGATTTTGTTTCGTACTTTTTGAGATTTGTTGGGTGGATTTCAACAACAAAAATGATTGTTCTTTTGAAGTACAATAGGAATAGATTCTACGACTTTTTGGAGATTTGATTTGGAATTCAACAAAGAGTTGTATAATCATTGGCGACAATGCTACATGGGATTCATTCAAGGTGGGGGTTTTAACCAACAACAGTCATTTCTGGGGAGATAATGGTGGTCTAGCAGAAACCATCCCTTTGGTCAGAATGATGGTCAGTAACTCCTTGATATACACATATTATACACATATTATTTAGAACCAGCGGTTGTGTATCATTTTGGTGGATCCTGACGTATAAAATTGTGGGTTCTGAACCTGTTACTTAAATCTTAGAACCTATTATAGTAAAATTTGGTTATCTCAGAATCTATTGCCAATATGTTAACATTTAGGTGGTTTGAAGGTGATGCAAAAGCCTAGAAACGGTTCGGAACGGTTTGGAACGGTTTCCAGGGCAGTTGTGTACTTCCGGAAACGGTCGGGACGGTTTCTGAGATGATTTCTTTCTATGTGCAGAAACGGTTCGGAACGGTTTGGAACGGTTTCAGACTTTGATTTCTATTGCCTATAGCGGGTTCTAAAAAAAACCTTTCAGGTTCTGAACATTACCATTCAGGTTCTGAACATGGACCATTCAGGTTCTGAGGCCACAGGATGATACACCACCCCTGGTTCTAACATATTATTAAACAGTTTATTATATTAATCCCTTCCCCCTATGACTACAGTGTTTCCCACCCCCAAATAATGTAAACTAGGGTCCGTCTCCAATTTGGAAAATTTGAGGCCAATTTGATTTTTAGTTGATCCCCTTTAGAAAACAATATAAAAATGAAAATACCATTTCAGGGTTTCACCCCCTAATAATAAAAACTAGTCAATCCCGGGGTGTTTTTTATTGTCGAAAACAAAATGTGTTTTATATTGAGGCTGTTAATTTAATATATATTAGGAAAGCTTCGAAATCCAATTTTTGGCAATATTTTAATTAGATGTTAAAAGGAAATCTAATCAATTTTGAAATGGAACAACCTAGTTTTTTTATACTGGGGTTTTAAATTTACTATTAGGGGGAAGCTTCGAAATCCATTTTTTGGCAATATTTTAATTTGATTTTGAAAGGACATCTAATCGATTTTGAAATAGAACAAAATAGTTTCAGGGTTTTAAATTTACCATTAGGGGGAACCCTAATAATAAATATCTCCAAATAATAAAGACTACCTGAGGTGTTTATTATTTGGGGGAGAGTGATTTTTGTATTTGGGGGAAGGGATTATACTAGACTATACTATATTATATATAAATGATCAGACTGCTTGACCATTTTTGTCTTGGAGATTTGAACTTCCGAGGTTGCTTAAGATCCTCCCCAGTTGCTAACCTCGCTAACCTCATGCCCAGATGGGAGGTTCATCATGGAGTTTGGTTCAACATGTCGCTACGAATTTTCGGGAGAATATCAACAGAATCTTAAGATGCGTTTGTTGGTCATTTGTAGACCTGTTTTGTGATGTTCAAATTTGTGGTCACCCTCATCAGGGGTTGGTAACTGTCCCATTTTGGGAATATTGGACATCACCTTATAGTAGCCATTATAGACCATATACCTAATGGTTGGGTGATGTTCAATGGGGACATTTAATGACCCATGCTAATTGTCAACCTGTATAGGAATGGTGCTTCTCGAAACGTGCCATCTACTTCAACTCTGCGGACAAGAAGCAGGTAACGCTTCGGTTCTCGCAGGAAATCTGTTGAACCCGGGGCAGGGGAAGTCTGGAACTGGTTTGGTGCTTTGAAATATGGTATACCCGTAGTATACCCTCTGGTAAACATACAAAAAACTATGGAAAACCACCATTTTCTATGGGTTAATCAACTCTCTCTCTCTATAATTATATATATAAATGGCAATTTTCAATAGCTATGTTAGTTTACCAGAGGGTATTCAAGAAATGTTGCGTGATGTTTTGGGCTCCGATGAAGACATCCCGCAGGCACGAACTGGAAGAAGAACGGTCACGAAATAACATGAGCAGTGATCGAAACCCTTGTTGGTTCATGCTTATAGTTTTTTTCTTCTACCCTCTACATGGAGGACTACACATAGTCCATTGTGGGAATCCAGATCAACCAAGCAGTGTAAAAAAAAGTGTTTCATGACGTTATTGGTTTTTTGTGTTCAGAACACTGCTCACATGATGTTTTTTTCCTTCCCTATACTGTGGTAAGTCCAATCATAGACCCCCAATTCCGAGTTGGGTCTCTGGGAATGGTAAAAGATATGTCCGACCCGGAGACCCTATACGGATGTAAGACAGGTCGTGAACATGGCTTATGTTTTGCGATAAATGTGATACATGGATGAATGAATGCTTTATATATATATATCCCTTTTTTCAGGGTATCCTAGCTTGGTCATTTATAGAGGTGCTCGGCTGCTACACCAACATCAGTCATCCAGAATGCATGTCGATAAGCTAAAAAAAATGCAACCAATGCAGGTTGGAATATGCGCAGCACTAGCGGGTACCATTGGACCCGCAAAATTGGGCATCAGTCATCAGCATTTGGGATGGTCTGAAAATGGGGTGTACCCCAAAATCCAATAGTTTTGTTGATCGACCTCCAGTATTAAGATTCCCATTAGTGGGGACATATTTTGTGAAAGAACTATTTTTGAATCCATTCAATCTTTGGGGTAGATCATTTTGAACCATGCCCAAGTATGACCAGCTGATGAGTGCTTTCAAAGATGTTCAAAAAGATCATCCTTGCTTGGGATGAATATCACGTTTCCCTCGGAAATGATTTTGGATGTTCCAGGAATGTTCCTGTGAATTTGCAGGTAAGTACTATTTACACCGATTTACATGGGATTTTACATGGTTTACCCTCTGGTAAACAAACATAACTATGGAAAATCACCATTTTTAATGGGAAAATCCACTATTTCTATGGCCATATTCAATAGCTATGTTATTTACCAGAGGGTAGCCTCATATCTTTGTGGATTCTGCAGGTTTGCCAACCCAGCGATTCTCCGAATTTTGGTGGCTTCGATTCGCCAGCAGCAGCGATTCGCCTCGACAGGTGGAATCAAGGGACGCCACGGGGAAAGCCTTGCAGAAGCTGCAGGACCGGTGTCCGGACACGGTTTCATCTGGTTGGTGGTTTGGAACCATGGCTTTTATTTTCCATAATATATGGGATTTAAGCAACAAAAATGGTGATATATATATATATATATATTATATTCTGATTGGTGGTTTGGAAGCATGGAATTTTATGACTTTCCATTCAGTTGAGGATTTCCTAATCCCAAGTGACGAACTCCATCACTTTTCAGAGGGGTAGCTGGCTCAACCACCAACCAGTCATACTTGGTGCTTCATGCCATAGCGGTGGAGATATAACCTACTTAGTGGGACGAACCCACCATTCGGCCCATGATCCATAAGCAGTTCATCTAGATTCGCGATATGTATGTATACATATGCACATATATGTTTATATCAATGAATCTAAATGTGCATGTACCGTGTATACTATATATATACACATCATATAACATATCAGCTATATAGATACATATATGTACATGGCTATCACCGGGAATCCTGCTAGTTTCCCCTATGGCGGTTCCATTCCTGCAGGAGAATTTGGAAGAACCTTTGGAGTTCCTCGAACAGGTCGGGGCCCTGGGGGCCCTGTCCGACATGCGGATGGGGTCAACGGGGTAGCCTTTATGAAGTGAGGATCACACGATTCATCTGGGGAAGAAATGGGAAGAAATTGAAACCAACTAGGAAACTCTACCATAAAAATATGTCGCGCAGATGTTTTTTTTTCCCGCAACTATCAAAACATGTGGGGAAACAAAGTGTTGAAAATTAGTGATGATACTGTGGATGGAAGAAATCCTTCACCAGTTGATAGATGGATAACTCTCACTATTTATAGGGTTTCAACCATCCTTTTTGGTGGTGCAGGATTTCTTCCATCCACAGTACCTCTAAAATGAGGAAACCAACTGGATGAGTGAAGCACAATGGAAAACCTGCGATTTAACCAGGAAAATTGTCGCCGAAAACAGGGCTTGGTTTCGCACCGAAAATGGTAACATTGGGAGAATCCAAAAAGGCTGGAAACGTCATGGATTTACCAATCCAGGTGGTGAAAAATCGGGACATGAAATGGTGTTTTGGGTAGTTTTTCATGGGACAATGGAACGTTCCACCAAGCAACTTCTAGTTCTTTTGATTTTTAGCCATCGAGATTTAGGAAATATATTGATTTAACAATAACATGTGGGTAAACCAACTGGATGAGACATTTTAAGTGTGAATTTTCAGAGTATTTCTGAAAATTCGAGTCTCCCACCGTTGGTTAAGGCCAAAGTCGCCTTGGAAGAGGCCCTCTGGGGGGTTGAGGATGCAGCCTTTTCGGGTGCCCGTGCTGTGGAGATGAAAGATAAATTGAAGACAAATGCTAGCACTATCATACTATAGTTCATTGATATCATTGTTTTACCTTTATACAGCAAACATACCATTGTAACCTATGAACTTGAAGCTATATAGACTGAATTATCGATAAAACAGCTTGAGGAATAAATATAAAAGTATGAATCCACCCAACATCAATTCCAACGTAACCTGGACAATAGTAGTATAACATATAGATATTAAGACATGACCAGCCAAGATTGAGGCACAACCTTAAGCGTTTTATACACAGTTCCAGTCGCAGAGTCTTGGAACTAATTTTGATGCAAATCGGTGGGAAAAGAAAGAACTTGCCAAGTGGGATTGCCTGGTTCACCACGGAACCACCAAAAAGATGCAGACAAGTGAGGTTTATCATGGTTTATCACTAATTATGGATTTTCAGGTTTATCACTAATTATGGATTTTCAATGATTTTTCACCTTTCTATTTTTTTTTGGGGTTGCCATGACCAATGAATTGCGGGTGTACATCCATAGGTGATCATTTGGGGGTAGGCGGCGCACTATCAGCACCCAAGAAATACTATCAATGTCTATATGAAATCCCATAAGATATCCCATTACTCCATTATATGTACAGTATGCCGTATATCCCCATATATGTACATCCCATTAAATGACCATATTGTTTGGTTACATTCACCAAATATCACAGTTGAATGTTGTAATGCCTCATGATGGGATTTAAAGATATCAGATGCCAACTGGCGATATTGATCCATACACATAGATGCATGCATGCATGCATGGACACATAGATAGATGCACACATAGACACAAAGATAGACAGACAGACAGACAGACCGACCGACCGACGGACGGACGGACGGCTGGATGGATGGATGGATGGATAGATAGATAGATAGGCAGACATATCTATATAGGTAGCTAGATCAATGGGAAGATAGAGAGATACCATGACAGAGATATATAGCTACAGATTTAGATAGATAAAGAGGTAGATAGATGGATAGACATATAGATACATAGATAGACATGTCTATATAGGTAGATAGATGGGTAGATACAGAGGTAACATGACAGAGATATATAGCTAGAAAACTAGATAGATAATAGGTAAAGAGGTAGATAGATGGATAGAAAGATAGATACATAGATAGACACGTCGGTAGATAGATAGGTACATAGATAGAGAGACAACATGTTTGATAGGAATATAGCTAGATAGGTACATAGATAAACAGATAGTCAGATATAAACAGATAAATATATAGGTAGATAGCTGGATAGATGGAAAAATGCACAACTTCTAAAGACTGGAACCCCTCCTAGTCGTCCTGAAGGGGCGATCCCATGGCATTTTGGCCATGACGAGGTCGCGAGAAAATCGGGGTGATGAAGCGGCTGGCATCAAAAATGAATCCGCAAGTCGTTGGTGTCAAGTTGCCAGTTGAATGGGAATGTCCAAGTAGACTTCATATCATGGAAATGTAATCTATCTAATGGGATAGAATGGGAATGTCCAAATAGGCCCCGGCTCATATATGTTAGGAGGTACCATATGTTTTTCATTGAGAAAAGTACACAAGAACACATGAATTATATATAATATATATATCCTCATCCTAAAGTGGTTGGTGTACATATGTTCTTACAAATCCTGAAGTGTTGGGAATCCTCATGTTTGGAAGAAACACTCCGACAGATTGAAGAAAAGACAAGGTGTTAAGACTGTTAAGATGTGTTTTTGTTGCTTGGGGTGTATCCTCTGGTAGTCAATTGTGGCAATGGGATATTCCCTATAAATGTTTTTTTTCATTGGCAAATGATCTATATATGGTGGATTTAAAAAAGCAAGCCACGTTTGATGACACCGGAGGCTACAAATGGCTCCTGGGATCAGTGAAAATTGCAAGCCTTGGAGACCAGTGATTGTGGACTGACGTAGAAACTCATCATGTTTCTAGCAGGCAAAAGATAGAGAAACAAGTCTGTCATGTATTTGCAAATATATGCGCTATTCTGGGTATCTTCGAAAATGGGATCTGCCCCCCGAAATTAATTCATAACACCGAATTAATATATGAATTGATAAGTTCGGTCATTTTGCGGACTTTTCCCCCAATCCCAATCCCATAATTTACAGTGACGTCACAGCGTGAAGTCGTGATCAAATTTATCTGGACTGATGGTCTAGCTCATGCTGTGACTGTTTTAATGCCCATCACTGTAAATACTGTAGATGCAAATGGCTTTGGTACCTGGTACCTGAAACTTAGGGAACAGAAATCAGTCAGTCCATCCGCGTCCACTGGTTGATCGTGATTTCTCAACCCAACAAAAAACCTACCATTTGGGGATGGTTTATACAACCTATTTGCGTGTGATTCCGGGGATGGTTTATTATTGGGTTTACCACATTGAATTACCATTCATCCAGATCCGTTGTGAGCGAGCAGCCTCCGCAACCCACTGAACCCTTTGCAGCGGATTCGGCTCAATCCAGTCTCTCAACATCGCACTATCAGTCTTTGAGCTTTGCTCTTGACCTCAGGACGGAGCATCAGCGAATCATCAACGCTCCATGTGAGGTTGTGGGTTTGTCCAAAATGGTGGTTGTGATTGCTAATTGCTACCCTCCTCGAATCAATCAAACGTGGCAATGGTAAATTCATTTGTTGTAGTTTCTGTACCATAATGAGTTTTGATCCAGATCATACAGCTTGAACGGATAATTACTTCCAAATGGAGTAGTTGCACATAGTTGCACCATGCACCAAACATGTGTGTGGCTACCAGAAGTTGTAAGTCAAATAGGGAAAGTGGCACCCCATCCTCTAGGTGCAGGGATACAAAGATCCATTGCATTCCAGTGGGCTGGGGGAATGTGAAAGCCCCCACCACTAGTTGTACAAACCATTGGGGTCTGAAAATGTGCTATCCCATGGTATCCCATACTATCCCATACTGCTTAGTTAATCAGAGAATTTCACCGTATTTTCCCCGTGTTTTACCGGAGTTTTCTGGAAGCATTTCCCGTGGCAGGATGCCCAACAAGGAGAAGCTCGCCAAGAAGAATGCGTTCCTCGGTGTGTGACGGCTGGACCGGTTGGCGGAAACCGTAGTAACCGCACTAATCCAGAAAATAACTTAACTAGCTAATCATGAGTAGATTTATGACCTGATATAGCTTGCTGGTTGGTGGTTTGGAACATGAATTTTATGACTTTCCATATAATTATTGAGAATGTCATTATCCCAACTGACTAATATATATTTTTCAGAGGGGTAGGTCAACCACCAACCAGATGATCATCCCATTATTAACCACTATTAACCCACTATTAACCACTATTTACCGAGCTATCGCTTGGATCGGGATCCGGTTGGGGCGTCTTTGATCTGAATCTCCCTGGATCCAGATGGCAGTGACCTTTTTACCGACCTTTTTTGCCAATTTCAAGACATGTCCAGATTATGTGTGTTGAATAATAATTGTATGGCTTAATACCTTATAATTAGGTATTGATAATTGAAAAATACCATTGAACATATCAAGATACTGGTATTATAATTATCAATGGTATTTTTCAATTATCAATACCTCTTCAGATTATGGCATTTTAATTATCAATGCTCATATCAACATACTATACCATAACATGCCACATTCCTGGCGATTATGGCAGCACTTGGCCGCAAAAATTAACCCCCGGTGGGACTCTGGAAGGTCATTAACTATCAGCCCAAGCACGGGCGGATTTCTCAATCTTTTCATTATTCATGAGATGAGATTGTGTGAACCCAATTTTGTTTATAAACAAAGATATAAAACTGGTTGGTGGTCTCGAACATTTTATATTTTTCAATATATCGGGAGTTTCATCATCCCATTTGACTTTCATATTTTTCAGAGGGGTGGGTCAACCACCAACGAGTTTAACAAAAAGCTATAGAAAATCACCATGTTTAATACATAATCCATCTATAAACAACATAGATAAACTACACATCTCAACCTTGCCATTCATTTTGAAGCTTCAAAACGATCGCTTTCTGATCCCAGGGGGTCCCCACCGGGCGGTCCCAGGTACTTCGCCAAGCTGGTTGATCTCTGCGTGAACACGCCCAATGCCTTGCTGGTGAGTGACATGGCCCTGGAATGCCCTGGATCCATGGTTTCTTCCAACAACGGGATGGATCAACGATGGGATGAAGAAACATGGTGTGAAAACATGTGAAAACCAGACTTTTGGGTTTCAACATCATGATCATCATGGATATGGGAAGAATCAAACGTCATGATTCGATGGCTGTTTGTAAAATATTCTGTAACATATTATATGAAGGTTCTTGATTTACTTGTTCAAGGCTTTCATGCTGTGACATTTTTGAGGTTTTCAAGAGACCAAAGGATTGAAGAAGGCCTCTCCACGTCGTTCGATGAGGCGTTGACAACATCTCTTCAAAGCAGATGCAGGACGCACCCTGCCCAATTTCCCTGGGCAGCTCAATTTCGAAAGGCTCACATACAAAGCATACAAAGGGCTGCCCCCTAGTTATAAGTTGTTGATACATGCTTATAGTATCTTATAGGTATATAGTTATAATCACCATAAACTAACCATGGGGCACCAACTTGAACCAAAGTAGACATACTTTCGGAATTGACTCCCTGGCAAGCTTTGTTGCAGACTCTACGACATTTGCCAGGACGTAGTGGGCCACATTCCCACGGGTCAGTTTCGTTATGTCTCAGCTTGAAACTGCTTGGTTCAAAAGATGGGTTGCTGAGAAATCACTGGGGGCTTTCTTGGCTTCTCTGCGAATGTTGATTCGATCCACTGAGAGATCCCCAAGTAGTGCATCAACTTTGATCAACGGGGCAGGACATCCGCTTGGAATTGAGAGGTAAGGCAGTGGTGCTCATGGGTCGCTCGGAAGTACAAAAAAGGGATCCGAGGGGGGTTCCAAGCGAAGGGACCTTTTTGTCAACCAACAAAGGAATAGAGCCCCCTATGAATGGACATTTTTGATGGGAACATCATCTGTACTGGTTGGTGGTTTGGAACATTTTTTATTTTCCCATATGTTAGGAATAATCATCCCAACTGACTAATATTTTTCAGAGGGGTTAAAAAACCACCAACCAGATAATATATAGAATGGGCTAGCGCCCGGGTGCCGCCGACCCCCCCTATTTGGGGGGTCCTGCAGAGAGAGGGAGAGAGATAGATAGATGGATGGATGGATGGATGGATAGATAGGTAGAGAGATAGAGAGAGAGAGAGAGATAGACAGATAGATAGATAGATAGACAGTTGGATAGACAGATAAGTAGATGGAGAGATAGATGGATAGATAGCTGGATGGATAGATAGATAGATGGATAGATAGATAGAGAGGGAGAGATAGATAGAGGGGGAGAGAAAGATAGAGAGGGAGATATAGATAGATAGAGAGGGAGAGATAGATACTCCGACGGCATCCGACGGCATCAGCGGTTCAGTGGGTCAGTGGCGCGTCGCTTCCGGCGGGCCGTGCTGAGGTCGATGGTGGTACATGGTGGGACAGACATGGACATATATGTTTTGATATGCCCCAACATGCCGCAATTCAATCACAAGGTGCAATGTGTATGCAATGAGTATGACGCTACAAATTTGAAGTCAGACCTCAGTTCATATTTTTAAGCATATTTGGCCTCCTATCATTGTATGATTGGTGGTAGAGTATCATTGATTTTGAAACTCAGGGATAATCAAGGGTACTGATCTCCGGAAGCTGCTGAGCTTGCCGCGCCAGGGCCACGAGTTGTGGCGCCTCATCATCGCCTTTTGCGGACTGGCAAACGGCAGGCTTGAACCACCATAAAAGGACAATGCCGGGGCTGGCAAACGGCATGGGAGCTGCAGGGAAGCATTTGGGGGGTTTTGCGGGCTGGCAAACGGCAGGCTTGAACCACCATAAAAGGACAATGCCGGGGCTGGCAAATGGCATGGGAGCTGCAGGGAAGCATTTGGGGAGTTTTGCGGGCTGGCAAACGGCAGGCTTGAACCACCATAAAAGGACAATGCCGGGGCTGGCAAACGGCATGGGAGCTGCAGGGAAGCATTTGGGGGGTTTTGCGGGCGGGCAAACGGCAGGCTTGAACCACCATAAAGGGACAATGCCGGGGCTGGCAAACGGCATGGGAGCTGCAGGGAAGCATTTGGGGGGTTTTGCGGGCTGGCAAACGGCAGGCTTGAACCACCATAAAAGGACAATGCCCATGGCATTTCATGAAATCAAAGAATTTCAAAAGGGGCACCAGCAGTTGCAGAGCAACTACCAGCAGGAGCCACTGGAAAAGCTTGGAAAAAGGCACGTCACTCGTTTTCTGAGCGATGCGTACTG